GACGATTGTAATTAGGTTTAGATTACAAATGCAAAGTAAAGATGAAGAAAACAAAGTTCTTTTTATCAAATGAAACGGTTAATCACATAACATCATGCTTATTTACGATTAATTAAGTATGAAGAGGCAAGAAGTGCATTTCAGACATTTGTATTCAGTCAGTCTCAGGAAAATCCAAAATATCCGATATCAAAAAAATTTAAAACTAGTATTTTCCATCACATTTTTTCGGTTTATGGATAGGAATCAAAGCTATTTTTTAAGACTGTGCCGATTTCCAAATACTTTCGTTCACAATTTTAAACATTGAGCAGTATTACACTTCTTTTCGGAACCAAAAAGCCCATAAAGTCTTATTCTAAATTCTAGAACACTAGACGCCAAACAAATAAATAATGTATAACAGAAACGGGCTATCCAATACGTCGTCGTAACATCTAGGGCGAAATGTCAACTCCCACAAGAGAGCAAATATTTGCATGGTCTAACAAATCTTTGTTTCACGTCTAACTATTTGCGATTGAGATTGTATTGTAGGACACCCACGCATGAAACATCCAAGCCCGGTTCTATCCCTTATTTCCATTTCTACTTGCGTTACGTATAAGTGAATTTATATTTATCTATAGTCCATCTGTTTAGGTAATTAACTAAAGGTAAACAAAGAAAACCACGTGACACAGAGATACTTAACCTACTATTACTTCAAATATTTCTCGTGTTTTAATTTTAACTAAATTCACTTTAAAATCGTTCATTTGTCATACACACACATACCCTAAATCGTACAAGAGCCTAGCCTATGGGTCTATTTCATTATCATGTTTAAATAGAAACTATTCTGAATATGATGTACGGATTTCTTTCTTGTACGGATATGTGCCTTTGGGCCAAGTTTCTTCAATATATTTGAACACATTAACTACAAACGATGTATACCTAAACTTAAATAACTTAATAACAAAAACAAAACAAAGAAACAAGATAAATTCAACAAAATAGGAACGCGAGCGCAAACGACGAGAGAGCTGTCAATGGCGCCTGATTAACCGACTAAACGTAATACACGCTACTTTCATTGTCGCGCTACATCTTAGTTGTACTCTTTAATTTGACAACATTATTTTGCTTCGTTCTTATAGAAGGGTTTTGGATACCTGGGATTTTAGGCTCTTTATGGTGTCTATTGTAATGAAATATTATATTATTTAATAAATGTTATTAAATTAATATCCTCAAGCAGATATATATAATATTTACTAAGAAATAAGTAAAAAGGAACAGAAACATAACATTTAATAGAGAAAACTGTCGTAAAAAGGGAAACAATTTTATTTTCTTATGAAGCATTTTGAATCATGGAAATGTCAACTATAAAGAACTCTTTTTATGGTTTGTTTACAAATAGTTAACTACCTAAACAGACGGAGTATAGTTTGTTCTTTGCTTCCTTTTTGTTCTATCGGTAGCAGAGGCTTAACTGTACCGTTTGGGGCCCGTGGCAAATTCATCAGATAGGCCCCCGTTCACAATAAAAAACAGGGAAGTTTAGATGAAAACCTCTCAACGGGGGAGCCCGTGCGTCTTCCAGCTGGGAGCCCGTGGCATTCTGTCGACTTGCCACCCTGTAGTTACGCCACTGATCGGTGGTATAGCAAAAGATAGTCTATCAAGTCTTTTTCAGGTTTGGTTAAAAATAATTTTATGGCCGACTGGAAAAATTACGGTATGTTCCGTTGTGTTCCGCTTTAAAAATATAAAATAGTGTCTCATTCGACCGATGTTTTGACTAGGAACATCACATCAATCATATACACACTCCCAACGGATAAGATAGATTTATAGCTACGCATCTCCACACATCATCGCTCTTAAAATCGCAAACAAAACCAAAGTTTACCTGTTGACGCCACTGACATTCCGACACCTTGGCCTTATTTCAAAATTTACCCAATAAACGTCCTCAAATACACCACGACATTGCTCTCCAGTTAATAATATAACATTTAAGTGGGTAAAATCAATAAATTTAATTCTGGAGCCAAGAGCATGTCACTGCGCAACGGTTTCTGCAACAAATTATGCTCCAAACTCCACAACCATTCTATTATAAAAATAGAGTCAATAAATCAACAAGTACAAGAACGTTATATTTAGTTCCATAGACATAGTAAAATTTCCTGTTAAAATACTCGGCGTCGGTCTAATATACATAGATCGTACCTTTGCCATTACGTTTTATTGTAAACTAGAATACTTGACGGTCTATAATGGATAACAACCAAACACGACTGTGTCTTACTGAATTAATCTTAACCATCATACAGTCTAATTTTGTTATGTTTTCACTCACTATTCGGTTAAGTTTTGTTATTTGATTTCGTCCAAGAATTTTATTTATTACTAGTTTTTAATATTAATGTAACCAATTATAGAGTGATAGTATATTTAGATTTTAGATATATTGATTGTAAGTCACGGGGTGACATAAAGATTAGGAGAAAACTATAGATTAGTTAATAATATATAGGTATAGTTATAGCTCTAAGTAATAGTTATAAATTTCGGCTGATACTAAATTTGTAACGTTTTAAATTGCTGCGCCGTAACAGGGTAATGTACTTAATTAGTTGTATGTAATACTTCATATTATATGTACATTGTGCAATATGAATAAATAAATAAATAAAATAAAAAAAAATCTACTGAGTTTCCTTATCCTATCCCCGATAAATTGGGGGATACAAATAACCCATATTAAGAACACATGAACCCGTTTTTGTTGAATGAAAGTATTTTTCGCAGAGCAATTCCCATCTGACCTCCACCGACATTCTCAATCTGACCCATTGTCAGCGGGTTCTGACAAGTCGTTACGATTGTTGTAGATAAAAGTGTCCAACCGGTCAACATGTCTTCTGAGGCCAAGATCAAGTCTAAATGCCGAAAGACGAACGATGGGTCTTAGGTGAAACAAATGCCGAGTGCGCAAGTTCATGACATGATAATTTACAACCACGAAGTATTTACAGCTACGAAACTACATTGAAATCAAACAGCATATAAATAACAACAGATATTAATAGAATCTGTTTCCTTTTATTGTTTATTTTTAGTTTTGCAGCCGTTACAGACATTATGAGGGGGAAATTGTTTGTCTGACGCCTGCAGATTGGTGTCAGGTTCATAATTAAGAATTCAACAATGCGAACATTTCGTAATACGGTATATTTAGGCACTTTGACTCACTTCAAAGTGAAACCAATTTGTTGCATTAGCGTCTACGTCTTTGATTCGCATACCAAGCTTATCGTTGGTTACTGAAACCCGAATTCAAATTTGCTCTCGGACTTCGTATTGGGTCAGTAATAGGTTGGTTAGACTGCTAAAAGCCAATTACGTATCGAAAATTTGAGTTAAAAGCGACTACCAAAAGAGGTTAGGGTTAACGTGGTGGAAAGATCTTTGCTGCAAACATTATTTCGTTGGGACTATTCAATATGCGGCTCAAGCAACAGCAATAAGCTAGCGTCGCCTGTTGACAAATGGCCAATATCTATCAGCGTTTCGTGAGACCTGTACAATACAACAGAGTGTTCTGTTATTTACGCACACATTTTAGACCACTTTCGTTTAGAGGTACAGAAAGTAACTATTTGAATTTCGAGCTCGATTTCGATTCTTATATTTATAAAGGGCCTCAGACCTTTGTGGGGCACTTTATCAATATTTACGGGCCGCCATTAATACAAGAAAGAAAACAGAGCATTTTTATCTTAAATAAAATGTATGAAAAACATGCCAAAATGTTATTGGGACATGTCATACTTTTTATACAATTAAATACATTAATCACCAGCATTTAACTGCTTGAGAAAAGTCAACCTAACATCAAAAAGTTGAATAAACTCATTTACAAACAGTGGAATTTAAAATACCTAGCAAAAAGTGTTTATTAAAAATTCTCCTACAATGACACAGGCAGTATAAATAGTCCAGATCAGAATGTAAAAATATCTGGCACATTATAACTTTTTTATTGGTGTGTATGAATATTATGATGGGTCTGTCAATCCAATAGCTTTTAGCATTTGAACAGACATATGTCTATCAAATATGAGGGTTCGGAGCAACTCCGGTATATTGAAATATTTTTATCACATCAGTATTCTAATAAAATATGCACTTTCTTGATCATTCTTGTGTATTCTGGTACATATTAATAAATAAATTTTATTTTATATCTGTTTTTGTATACTTTTTTTATATCTTTGTGGGAGTTTGGTTTTGTCTTTGCCCTCGATGAGACGGATGAGAAAGGAATAACTATTTATGAACATGGTTTGAGATTGGAAAGGATATTAATATTAATTATTATGAATAAATTAACTCATATTATTTTTTAGTATTGTATTTTTCTGTTGTTATTTAATATCTGATAGAAATCATACAAAGTGGTGCCTAACATTTTATTTACTGCAACATTTAGTTTTAATTATTTATAATAGATGGCCAATAGGAAATGTTATTTATTTTAATATTTAATTTTTAAAGTTAGGTATAGGTACAATTTTACTGCAATCAGATTCTAGTTGGAATATTATCCAATAAGTTTACTTAATTAATTGAATTAATACTATTAAATGAAAATAAAACTATTGTGAAGCTGCACACAGCTTACAGTATATACATATCTGTTCATTCTATACAGCAAAATTTACAATAAAAATATAGGTATACATATAAGGAAAATCATTGTCATCCCAAACAAAAGGTTGATCTATGCAAAATTCATACCACATATAAGCAAACGCAATACCTTATTCAGTCTACTTTATTTTAATAATTATTACTAGGCTGAACCGCTTGTTACCGTCGCCTCACAGCTCAAAAACCTAAACCGTACAAGGCGCCTTCTTATTGTAAACAAATAGTGTATTTTTAATTTTATAATTTTATTACCCTCCGAACGACATAGTCTGCAGAGTATGTACACTTACCATATAAAGTCCTTGCAGTGGGAGCAGAAGGTGGGCTGCTTGAAGAATCTCGGCATGAACTTATGGTCTTTTATCAGATAAACATTCTTCTTTTTGAGCGCACCCTTGCGGCCCCGCAAACGGAACGCCTGCCCTGCTTTATATTCACCTCCACCATCATCACAATTATTCTCCTCGTCCGCCATGGCTACCCGCGGTCGCTAGGGCGCCGGTTAACTCGGAAATAATAATTATCTCACAAATAATCGCCTGAGAGCGCGGTCCACCCGAACGAACCACCGCTCTCAACGGAACGTCATCGCGATTTGTCAGTTTTAAGAACTGGCTGTCACTGTCAAACTGAAAGATACAAACGTGAGTTGCCATACTAAGATTTTAATTACCATACAAATGCATTAAAGTAGTAGATGTAGAAATACAGCTGAGTTGCAAAGTTGTAGTAATTTTACTGCACTACTGGTACTGTGAGTTCTTTTTTATATTTAATGGGCCGACGTTTTACCAGTCTCGCCTGGTGGTAAGCGATAATGCGGTCGACCATGGAACACGTTGACCCATAAGCAACCTATTCGCTCGGGCCTTGAAGACACTGAAGGGTAAAGAATTTCACTTCTTACCAGTACGCATACGAAAGCGCAAAGCACGTCGTGCGTCTGGGTGCGTCTGCCATGAATCGATGCCGGCTTCGCCGATTGTCTTGTGGTATGGACTAGGGCGAATCAAGTTGTGCAATTCCCCCGCACACTCACCGAAATACATCCGATAGAAAGCCGAAAGGCTTGCAACCTTACGCCTGTGTTTGAGGTTTTGAAGCCGGGCCTTCCCAAGTGTATTATCGTTGATGACCCTCTTGGTACGCCTCTCGATGTGCTAACGAGTGATCTATAAATTGTGTCAAAGTTTTGATTTTTGCATTCCTTCCATATATAAACCGAACTTCATGTTGTGAACTTGAGACTTTTGATCAAACACCAGACCAGTCTAAAAATCCAATAATAATAAAAAAACTACAAATTCGCTGTCTGGGACATCCACAACACAGGGGAAATTCTTAGTGAGACATTATCACGTCTTTTACTATCCGAAGGGACAGGTAGATGTGAACAAACTGTTACACCCCACTGCACTAGTTTCATGTTATAAACGTGGTCATAGTAAGGTAAGTAAGGTTACACAATTTTCACAGTCTTCAATTTCGTTAATGGATTATATTCTCATTCCCATTTCCCATTTATTATATTCCCTTATAACGCATGACTTTATTTGATTAGGTAACATTGTTATGTGCGTTCAAAAACAACATAAATTTTTAATAATTTTTCTTTCCATTTAATTTTTAGTGTTATATTATTAAGAAAGTATTAAAAACAGTGATTAATATATTATATAAATACAAAGTTAATAGTAAATGAGTTATTTAGCTTTTATTCGTATTTTTAAATAAAATGATGTACAATATTGATTGAAACTGATAATTCTGAACCAAAATTTTGAACGACATCCTGTCTGTTTGCGTTCTCGTTTATCTGTCATCGACATTTTTCAAGCGTAAAGCCGTTATTTTTCAAGATCGTTCGGTTGCGAATTTGTTTTGCTGTGCATTGCAAAGTGAAATGTGAAATATTTGAAAGTTTCTTTGAGTGTTTCTGTTATTGTGTGTGCGAGTAAGAAATTTAATCAAAATGAGTTCAGAAAACTCAGATTCGGGCCCTGGGCTGACGCTGTCTTTGGTGGCTCAATTCGATGATATAAATCGGTTGAACGGAATCCTAAACGACGGGGCGGCTGAAGAATGTGAGTTTTAACTGTTATTTTCTTTCATAAATACTAAGAAATATAATTTTAATCACACTCCGTAATTCCGTGTTAATTTTCATCCACCTACATTTTCTGAAACCGCCTGCTTTTTTGCTGATACCGCCATCCTAGCCGGATAAGTGTAATCAGTATTTCCTAAATAATAAAATCGGTTCGACAAATTCCCACTTCTGTAACAGGAAATGTAATCAAGTACCCAAATCTGAATTTAATTTTTATTTAAAAATGTAACTTGACAACAATGGATACATCCACACAGTTCATCCTGCGACCTTGATGATGACTTTATTTATTATAATAAATACTCTTCGTTTTATTACTCATTTTACTCCATATTAACTAAAACTAATAAATCAAGATTCTCAACCATGTTAGTCATATTCAAAACAAATCTATTGATAGATTGAGGTCTCCCAAGGCTCCCATGTTTACTTTGTCACAGCTTAAAACAGGTTTTTTTTGTGAATTGAACGACTTGTACATTAAATATCTATTATGTTCACAGTTTTGTGTGCTCCTCTATAACTACTTTTCAGTAACATTTAACTGATGTTAAAATGTTATAACATAAAAATAGGGATTTAATAACTGTTACCAATTAATATAAAATACTTGTCTTCAAAAAATAATGTTAATTTTAGTCAACTGATTTCAAAATTTCATTAAAAAGACTTTAAAATACAAAACTACTTACATATCTATCACTTACTCGCATACCAAGAGTACACATCATTTCAATCTATTAAATTGTCAAACACTGCGAGGACACCGGTGACTGCAACCTATTGTGTCTATAATGATGGTACTCATAGGGTTAATCATAAAACATAACTATATGCTTTACCAATACCCAGGTTTCCTTGCCTTTCTAAAACAAATGGAATGGGTCCGTGGTCAGTGGGCAGCCGCAGAGAAAGAGGCAGCTCGGATACAAACGGAACTGGATGAGGCACTCCGCACTCTTGCCAAGTGGGAGGCCAAGTTTGCACATGTGAGGAAGTTGCTGGACGGAGAGAAGAGGGAGAGGAACATTGTGCTGAAGAAGTATAATGAACTGGTATGTGATCAAAATAATCACCATTCTCGGCAATTAGGTTTTTTTTAATCATGATAAATTACCATTCTACTAGAATGCAAGTCAGCTGAATTAGTGTGTGCTAGGCATGGGGTCTCAGGTTCGATTTTGGAATGAGGTATTACTGGTATTTTTAAAATCTCAGTAGTAGCATGGACTCTAGAAATATGCCCGGTATATGGCAATAGGCTCACCCCCTATTACTTGGGGCTCATAACATAAATAGTGAAAAGTGGGTGTTACATTACACAGTGGTATTAAGTGCTGTAATGTGCACCTCTGCCTTCCCCTTCAGAGATATAAGGTGTGATGTTATGTTATGTTTGGCTTAATGTTTAAAGATTTTTATCAAGTGGGCTTCGTAAATGAAATGTTAATGTGTTACTAGAGAATATTAAAGTAAGATAATTGATTTACTTTGCAATACATTAACATCCCTCTAACAATCCTTTCCTGTATTAACAAAGTATGAGAAAATGTCAGATCACAATTTTTGTTTCTCAATAGTTGATTCAATATTATTATAATTTTTCAGAGTAAACTTTTGGACATGGCTAGAGACCTCCTCTTCAATGATAACCGTGCGAAGCTGAATGATGAGACCCTGCAGAAACTCGCCTTCCTCAATGGAACTGCTCAACAGGACCATAATGCTAAGCTCAATTGCGTGCCGGAGCTTAATTCTACAGGTAAATATTTTAATTTACTCCTACTAGTAATACTTACAGCAACATAAAAACTTTTGAAAATTTTATCTTTTACTAGTTATTCTAGCGAGGTTTCAACCGCTCTGAGCGGCTCCTCTTGATCGTAGCGTGGTGTGTCATAGACTATAAACTTCCTCGATAAATTGACTATTCAACAGAAGAATAATTATTGAAATCAGACCAGTAGTTCTAGAGATTAGTGCATTTATATTAACAAACATACAAACAAACTCTTCTGCTTTATATAGTTATACTAATTATACTTAGTATAGATCCTTTGCGACTGTGTAGACAAGTTTTGTGGATACTATACCTTCTTGATAGGAAACTGTCGCCTAGATCTGGAAGCTGAAATTGCTGGAAAAATACTAAAATTAAGTTGCTCATAAAATCAATTAAGTAAAGTGTGATTATTTTTTAATATTTCATTGTATTGAACAGTCGAAATAATTTATTTTTGACTAAGGAAAGTAACCAAATCATGTTTCTAAAAGCCATCTACAACACAGGAGAAAGTCCTATGCTTTAAAGAAAAGAAAGAAATAACATTTATTGTGTAACATTTAATGTGCCGTTGCATGCACAGAGATGTATACAAAAATGAAAGAAATAATATATAAATTAAAACAAATTAAAACAAAAAATAAACGTCACAAAATAAGCTAAAAATAGATGCATTCCCATGCAAACGGGCTTTTGGTTACGCCTTTTTTAAATGATAAAAGAAGAGATTCACACAACGTAACTTTCTATTACTCCGCAGGTACTCTACTATCAGAGATGTCATACTCCCGATCTGAGGATGATTTGGACCTCTCGATTGCGTCGACTCGCCGTTCCTGGGTGGCGCGCGGCGGGTGGAACGCGCGTGAAAACGCACCCGTACCTAAGAAACGACGGTCTTCTACGTCTTCTGCTACTAAGGTGAGAAAAAAGAACTCTTTATTACGACTGCGTAGTCACTATAATAATTAGAAGTATGTACATATAGTTTTTTAAGTTTTCGTCAAAATCAAAGCATTTTTTTCATCTAAATCATTATTTGGTACTTTTGAAACGTCAACAAATACAAAATTGATACATAAATAAAAATAATAGTCTGTCAGTCAGTCTGTCAGTGAAGCTAGGTGAATCTAGGTGCTAGGTACTAAACTATTAATTCCATTCCATTCTCATTTTTTCCAATGAAGGAGAAAGTCAGAGAACAAACTCTTAACAAATTGTTTTTTACTAAGCAAACTTGATCTTTGCATATTGTTCTAGATATTTTATAATTAGAAAAACTTGGCTTACTACCATTTGTATTTTGTCCAACAGACGGTAGAGCTACAAGGTGGTAAAGTGCTGGCCACTGCCACCACTACACTGACACTCGAGCGCGCGCCCACCAGCCATGACCTGAAGCCGCCTAATAACTTCGTAAGTTAGCATTTATTTATTATCATCACAACTAGCGCCCCGTCCGGCTTCGCACGGGTGCAATATGCATGTATTATACATATGAAACTTCCTTAAGAATCACTCTATCTTTTAAAATAAACCGCAACAAAATCCGTTGCGTAGTTCTAAGGATCTAAGCATATATAGGGACAGACAGGCGGCGGATAGCGACTTTGCTTTATACTATGTAGTGATTATCATATCACTAAACATCTCCTACTGGCCTGTAAGCATCCTCTATAGGGCGATAGAGAATAGGTTTATTGTAATCTCTTAGAAAGGCGTTGGAAAAGGTAGTATATAAAGTTCAAATTTTTCATGGACTGCTGCTGCCTAAGGTCCATTCGAAGCGTGATGTTTTATAGCCTTCCTCGATAAATGACCTATCCAACACTAAAAGCGTTTCAATACAAACCTGTGCTTCTGAATTAATGGTAATATTTATCTTCAGCAACCGATATCAGAGAGCAGTGACGAGGCGCCCCCGCCGCGCAAGTCGTCGGCGCGCCTGTCCGGCAGGGTGCAGCACTATGGCAAGGAGGACTGCACGCCCTCCGCGCCGCCGCGCACTGGTGACACTAATATTATTTGTACTTTATTTTGTAAGGAATGATTGTAATGCAGATGACCGTGAAGTTCGGAAAAGTATCCGGCATTAGGCTGAATATCCTATATTCACCGCCCAAATGAGTACTTCTGCTATCTCAATTTAATTCAATAATTTTGTATGTGCAATGAAAGTTGTGAAAGCATGTTACATTGCCGATCTCTCTTCAGGCCGTGTGGCTTTGTCGCAATAGAAAGTGACGTTTTTCATCAAGAATATTAAACAACATATATACATACATAACCTCACACCTATTTCCTATGGTGGTAGGCAAAGACTATGGAACACCAACTACTACGATTCTTACATACCCCTTTCGCTTCATCAACAGTTATCAGTATAAAACAATGTTAATTTAATCTCCATTTCTGTTCCGTACAGACACAGAGAGTGGGTCGGACACTCCCCGCGCGGTCCCGCAGCGCACTCCGTCCGTGGTGTCGGCCGGCTTCGGCGCCTCGCCGCGCGCTCGGCCGCGACAACATAACTTCGTCGCCAAGAACTTCTACAAGAGGGAGACCTGTGGCCCGTGTGGGAAGACGTTAGTATTCATTTCATTTTTCACATTCAATTAGGTACCTTATTGTAATAGTAATATGGTACTAACTAGTTAAGGAACTGTCGATTATGAGGAGAAAAGTTTAGAAGGATTTGGGCAAAAAGATAGAATACTTTCTGTATCGTCTACTGAATTTTTATTTTTATCTTACTAGCACGTCCTTGTGGTTACTATCGACGCCTCTAATGAGCATTAGGTCCTTTACATAGACCTCAGTTCAAGACTGGACAAAGATCTAACTAGTGCCAGTAGCGTAGCGTTCCTTGAAAATTATCATAAAAAGTTGTTTGGAAAGAGTATAGATTTGTGACAAGAGAAAAATTTCATTTGCACATATTACTAATAATTTGTATTAAAATCGAAAAACTTTCCAGGCAACTCTTTCTGCCCATATTTTTTAACTATAATGGGGATGATGACAGGGTATGAAAATTAAAAATATAATTAGTCCGAAAGTTAGGTAATGAAAAGATATTAGACACGTATTTTTTTATTTTGTCGTATAATAAAACAATACTTAGATAAAACGAATCAAAGTTTAGGAGTGGGGGCTAAAACGTCATTTCTTAGTATAAAATGTACTGAGAAGTGACGTCACGCGACATTTCAAATCAATATATCTTCGAAACTATTCGTTTCTGTGAGAAAATAAAAAATACGTGTCTAATGTTTTTAAATAATCTATCAGACGGACATTAAAATAAAAATTAGTCATCTACCCTATTACTTTAGTGTTTCCAAAGATTTTTCTTCCTCAAATATAAAAATGTTAATAATCGTCCACTGCCCCCCGCAGCATAAAGTTCGCGAAGCTGGGCGTGAAGTGCGAGTCATGTCGCGCGCAGACACACCCGGAGTGCCGCGCGCTGCTGCCGCTGCCGTGCGTGCCGCCCGGGCCCGCGCCGCGACGGCTCAACGCGCCGCAGGTACATCCACTACTCGTTACATACTCATTTTCATCATCACACATAAATTAAATAAAATCGCGAGTTACTCACGTGAATATACTGAGAAAAGCTCTACTAGTTTCGAACCACAGAGGGGGTTCTTCCTCATGCGCAGCGTGCGCGGTCGCGGCGATGACGCGATGACGCGCAGCCTATCTACATACAGCCATACATAGCCATTTACGTAGTATGTCTCACCATATTTATTATAAAAACATGAGACATTAATTTTCCACTGCCAAATTAAACTTACCTTATTAAAGAGAAAATATGCAATAAGTATCGATCAATCGACGAATGAGATGATGAATCTTCTGATGGTAAACAATCGGCGCTCACGGACACCTGAGGCAACACCAGAGGAGTAACGCCCATTTTCCACCAAAGCAAGGAGAAGACAGAGATGTGCTGCAAAACTGGCAGGTTATTTCCATTAAAGTAAAGAAGAGGAGTGTACCGGAAAGGAGATGTCAAAATGAGCATTCAAAGCCAATCAATAGTTAATCGAATGACGCTTACGAATGTGCAAGGCTCGAGAAGAAGGCAGCGGAATGCACTGGCACGTCCACCGCCCGGCCGCTTGACTGGACACACAAAATTCTATAGATAAATGACATCTTCTCTCCTCTCCACTTTATCTTATTTCCACCATTGCTAAGCGAAGAAGAGATTTGAAAATAACGAAATCTGATTGGTTTATTCAGACATATCTCCACTCCACTCTGGTGGAAACCAGGCCTTACAATGTGTATTAACAACCTCTAGACTTTTGGAGATGAAATAGGTCCTTGTACGCAGATTTTGTATTTTTAGTTTGATTTTGTTTTTATATTTGATGAGCCGACGTTTGACCACTATCTCGCCTGGTGGTAATCGTTTTCTTTGCTAATTAAACTTTCCGTACTTTTTGTAACATAAAAACCTATTTGTAACATTTCAAAATCATCAATACTTCTCTGGTGTACCAAGGATAACATATTCCTAGAGAAAATACCCACACATATCCGAAGTCGCGGTCAAAAAGAAACATGTAAATACCATTTTCCTATTGTGTTTACAGGAGGGTTGTATCTCAGACTACGCTCCGTCGACGCCGCCGATGGTGCCTGCGTTACTGGTGCATTGTATCAACGAGGTGGAGAAGCGAGGACTCACTGAGAAAGGAATATACCGCATCAGTGCTACTGATAAAGATGTTAAACGACTTAAGGTTGGTAACTGATCAATCCCCAAGCGGTCAACGGTGGCCGCTCTCCACTTACTCGATTATAGACTTTATTTCTGATGTTTAGAGACTACTTTTGTATGAATAAATTTTGGGGATACATATCATACTTTTTAGGAAAAATTTTAGACTAAACTGGTAATTTGAATGGAATCAAATATCGAGTGTAAACGGATTTATGAACATTCTCCCGTACATATAGATAGATTGGCAAATGTTTAACGTCAAAAATATCAATTTCTGTAATACAATGATATTCTAATAAACAGATATGTTATACACTTACAAAACAAAATAAAAAAGTGTTCCGCACCGAGAGGCAGCACACATACACACATTTTACAAGTAAAAAGGATAAAAAAGGATAGCTTGATAAAACCAATAAGAAAAAAAGTGACAACTAGATATTGTCAATTGCGCGTGAATGTAAACAAACATTATTCGAGTCACCAATCACCTCACGGTGGCATCATAGACTAACGAATTAATTAAATTAATTAATAGCAGAAGGTACAAACCGCATGTACAGAATTTGTAGCTGGGATTTGTGCCTATGCGATGAATAAACACTATTAAATGGTAGGTAGGTGAAAAATAAAACAGTTTTTAAAAAGAAAGAAATATATTTATATTGTAAAAACAATCATACACTTTCGAAAAGATTCAATTTATTTCTTTTCTGTCTCTTAGAAAGCTTTTTTATGTCGGGATTATTTTTATGAGCGGAATGGAGGCGAACTGTTGTGTACTTATCAATTATAGTTTTAATTAAATGTATGCGATGATTAAAAGCAGGTGCTTGGTCTTTGGAATGTTCCAAATTGAGTCAAAAACGTTCGAATTCAAAAAACTTTTTAAAATATTACATTTTAGTAAATTTTTTTGAAGGCGTCCAACTGGATTCACTTCTTTGTTTACGAACAATGGCAATCCATTCTTGAAGCCTGATTTCAGTGGTTGGAAACCTACGAAAAAAAGGCGGTAATTGTTTACAACTATGTCTATACTGTCTAATTCATTTCTTTGTTTACGAATAACTGCAATCCATTCTTGAAGCCTGATCTCAATGGTAGCTTTAATATAGCACTTTCTGTGACATATTATGGTAACGGTAAGCTATTTATATATTCTTTTCTTACTTGACATGTTTAATTTATGATTAAGTACCAGTACTTATATCAAACAAAATTATAAAGAAAAGAAACCAGAACTCTGGAGTAAAGGTGACTTTACTGCCTAATATTCACATCTGCACTTTTATTCTATGTCCAGAGTGCACACATCCTTATCGTTTTTACGACAAAAATGTATTTTCTATCTCTTTCTTTTATCTAACCTCTAAATATCAGAATATTAGGAAAAAAATTGAAATATATTAATAAATCGTAGTAAATTGCGTACTAACGTGTGGTATGAGATCCCTTGTGTTTTATTAACTTTGGTATCATAATTGGTACATTTTCTAAATAAACACGATGCCATTTTGGATGGTAATTACAAAGCAGCGCGCAACGTATCACTCGTAGTCGTGAATGACATAGACTAAAGGCAATATGTCCCAATTGGGACGTTTTCTAGTCTTCACGTTTTGCGCGCTCATAACATATCTGTTTATTAGAATATCATTGCTGTAATCCCATTTCGGCAGACCGTTTCTTCTGTAGTTCTGTCGTATATGACTGCAGACAGTCAACTTTTCAAGAGTACTTATACAAAGATATTCCTACCAAAATACTTCATTCTAACATTCTTCGATCATGATATTTCCAGGAGCGTTTCCTCCGCGGCTGCGGGTCCCCGTCGCTGTGTGGCGAGGACGTGCACGTGCTGTGTGGCTGCATCAAGGACTTCCTGCGCTCCCTGCGCGAGCCGCTCGTCACGTCGGCGCTGTGGGCAGACTTCATGGACGCGGCCAAACTCGGCGAGCCCAGCGACGCCACGGCCGCCATCGTCCAGGCCGTCAGTCAACTGCCGCAGCCTAATAGAGACACTCTCGCCTTCCTCGTGCTGCACTTACAGAAGTTTGTATTGTTTTTATAGATCATAGCTTTTACCCGCGGCTTCGCTTGCGTCACAAAAGGATAAAAAGTAGCCTATGTGACATATACCAATACACGCAGCGCCCTCTATACCAATAATTTCGTTTTCCCTCTAGAATATCAAATTTTTCCGGGATAAAAAGTACCCTATTATTTAATCCAGGCTTCTAACTTCACGTCTGCAAAAATTCAAAGCAATCGGTTTAGTAGTTACAGTGCGAAAGTGGAACAAACAAACAAACAAACTCACTTTCCGATTTATAATATTATTATAGTAAGGATAGTTAGATGATAATATAGTAGAAATCGTTGTCAAGTCCTTTGCAATGGTCATATGGTACTAATGATTGTCTGCTTGTCACTATGACCATTTTCTTTGTTTTATGTATTTTTTTTTTGTTCTTCTCTGTGAGCTTGTTAGCAGCCTGGTTGACACAAAGTTTGATGTGATCATAAATTATATCAATGTAGCGCAAGAAGCCCCTAGACTATTGAAAACTATTATAGCAATTAATCAACAAACATCTCAAAGTTGATAGTAATACTTGGCAGACTCTGGTTATGTAATTTACAAACCTATCATTTAATCTTCAAATATTATTCAAGGATTTTTACTTATTACAGAGTAGCAGAAAGTCCAGACTGTGAGATGGGCATCGACAACCTGGCGAAGATATTTGGTCCCACACTCATTGGCTACGGCCTCATGTCACAACCCACCGAGATGTACAATGCCACTGCGCAGATGTTCAATGTAAGTGTTTAGAAAATGATCCCATCCCCAAGCCCTAACCCTGTCGTGGAGAACCTAACGGGTTACCGGGGCTCCGGTTCTAAGCGCAGGAGAAGGAACGGAGTGGTTTTTAGTCAGTAAGAGTCTGACACTCCCTCCCGCCTCACTCAGGCGGGAGCAGTCATCCGATGATTTTCCCCCTTACCCTCAGAATGCAAGAAACATACATGTAACTGGTATTGCGGGCCCATCAGGATGACTTGTCCACACTAATTTCATAATAAATAAAAAATCCTGTCCTAAAACCGAAAAATATTTTCTGCGTATTAATTTGAAACTGTATTTAATTTGTAACTAACATGAACCTTAATGGACTGTAAATAAGACGATGATAACAATGGAAAAAAGGCGGACATATTGTCACTTAGAAATGATTGAAGCACCAAAATGTCAGTGGGTTTATTTACGTGTGCGTGTGTAATGGGTTACCATGATAATGGACTAAGGAAAATGGCAATTGTCCTTCGTGTCAATGTGTGTGTATTCTGCGTTAAGTGTATAATTACCAGTTGCCTCAGACGTTGTTTCAAGAGACCGTTGCTGGAATACTGAATGTTATTCAATTTTAAGTCGTGCTTAAATATCGTGCTGTCTTTGTCATTTTACAAAGAATTTGTAGAGACAGAACTATGCTTAAGCGCGACTTAAAATTGAGTAACGTTTCAGTATTCGGGCATATGTCCGCTTTTTTTTTTCAACGTCCTCGTAGGTACACACGGTCACACATCAATCTATACAAAACCAGTTTATACTGGTTATGTAAAGCTGGATGTGTAGCCGTGTGTACCATTTAAACTTTCAAGCTACGACTGACTGAAATGTGATATAAAACCTCCTTTTGTAAGTAGACCCAATATAATTACTTCTTGATACACCCAGGTGATGCAGTTACTGCTCCGCCTGCCATGCGACTACTGGTCTCAGTGGGCGTGCCCCAACAACGACCCGGCCTCGCCCGTCGCCGGCACTCTGCCACGACCACGAGGATTCTTCTTCTCACCCGCCGATACTGGGTAAGTGATTAAAATACGTTTTTTAATCATACTAACATTGTAAATGCAGAAAGAAGGTTGTGAGTTTGTATGTATATTTGTTACACAAACACTTCAAGATGGCTAAAAGGACTGGATTGAATTTTGGAATAGGGTTATATTATGGTCTTCTTATCCCACGGGAACCCGGACGGAGCCATTGGTAGACAGAAGCTTGTATAGTTTATAAAATACACTAGCTACTTCCGCGCGGTTTCACACGATCTGCTCAGCTCCTATTGGTCGTAGCGTGATTTTTTATAGCCTATAGCCATCCTCGATAAATACGCTATCCAACACAAAAAGAATTATTCAAATCAGACTTGTAGTTACGAAGATTAGCGCGTTCAAACAAAATAACATACTCTTCCGCTTTATATAATAGTATAAGATTTTGGAAATCAGTTTATAAGAAAGTATTTATTTTTTAAGTCTTCTCTGTAAATATTGCAAATGGCGTCCAAATTAATAACCATATTATTCTCCCATTCCACAGAGTATCCAGGAAAAAGAGGAACTATTTCCAGTGACACGAAAATTAGACTTTATTGTTAACATTTAGAGTTAATTTTCGTTTGTTCGTGTAAGTGAACATTTCTGTTAACCATTTAACTTTGTAAATTCTTACATATTTATAACTACTTAGGGTTTTCTTAGTTTTTATTGGTATTCATACATTTTGACTAACTTAAGTTATATAGATCATTATAAACTTAGGACATTTTGTTGTAAAAGATTTGAAACACGTTACACCCTTTCTTGGGCAGTTTGTGAATATTAGAACTACTTAAAATTCTTTGGTTGGACCTTTTTCATAGTAATACAATATTTTGTTTTGCAATAATTAGCTAATTATTTCTGTTTTTCGAAATTTAATCACATACACTCATTTCGAGTAGCCCAAACCCTTTTTTTTTTCTGTTTCGAAGCAAGTATTATAAAAACACAAATGTTTTAATTTCACTTTCCTAGCTTAAAATAATTTGTACTTAATTTTTCTTTTGTAAAATTAGTTTTTATTTTTGTGTATACATTAAAATTATAAGGTTACTGATTTTTTGCGTTTTTAATAGGAAAATGGACAATAATTCAGTACCTCTATTAAGACTAGAATCTGATTAGGTACATAGACAGTAAGATATTGTCTAGTTCATAACTTTATTTAAAATTCTTACAGTTAACTTCATGGTAAAAGTAGTATTGAAAAAGAATAACTCATCTTTTTAATTTTTAAGTCGCGTTTATGTTGGACATCTTACTATTGAAATTCTGATCATTATTTAAAGTGCCAGTACAGTTGGTAGAGCGTTCGTGACATCATTTAACCGCTTCAATTGTATATAAGACACACTTTTAACTGTGGGAGAGCCATGCTTCGGCACGAATGGGCCGGCTCGACCGTATTGATACCACGGCCTCACAGAAAACTGACGTGAAGCAACGCTTGCGTTGTGTTTCGTCGTGTGAGTGAGGTTATCGGAGGCCCAATTACCCTCCCCTTCCCCAATCTCCCAAATCCTTTAATCCCCAACGATCCTTAAACTCCTAATCCCCAGAAGGCCGGTAACGCACTTGTAACGCCTCTGGTGTTACAGGTGTCCATGGGCGACGCCGGTTGCTTACCATCAGGTGATCCGTCTGCTCGTTTAACGGCTAATGCCATAAAAAAACACTAGAAAATTCATTGTATTTCGTCTCGTATGGATCCCGTTTAACCACACGATACGGGTTAAGTTAGTTACAGTTTTGTGGCACTGTTGAAGGCAAATAAAATACGCTAACGTCGTTTTGAAAGAAATAAGCACACAACGACTCTCATCTATCATTTTAATAGTATATTTTTCCAGCATAATGCTTAATGGACACCCTTTAATATAAACATCACATATTTATTAAAAGTATTATGAAACATACCGTCAAATTATCTGTAAGAAAATTTCTTTATTAAGTTTTTGTTACTTATAGTATATTTTAAGGCTCTTCCGTTATCGTGACGTCACACAACCGCCTGCGATGAACGTCTGTAATATATATTTTATCCTTAGCATTATATAGCTGTTATAAAATGGGCGAAATTGTTTCTTCAGTACACGTTAAGTTTGTACGAAACTAACCTTTAATTGTTGTGGTTTAAAGTCCAGTTTCAAATAGCATTTCTATGAGATGGATAGGTTTTTGAAACTGTTTGTTAGCATTTAACAGCACAACAAATTTAAATGTCAAAAATCAAACCATTTTCATTAAAGTGGTTCCTCTCCTAAAGACGAAAATTTCAAAAATTGAGCCCACGCCAATCTTACTAAAAGATTCGTGATAGCAGCGGATTTTTGTATAATATAAAATGCAGCTTGTTTTGATATAAAATACTGATGGACAATGAAATTAGACCACCTACCTACTTGATCAGTGATCTCTTTACGGTGTCAGACGCCGAAATAAATCTCTGGATTAGTTTATATTTCTGACAGAAACTCAATACAACTGTCTCAATTCAATTGTCATAAATCGATCTTAATAATAAATATTTTGGACTGGAATCAGTGATTAATTTCAATCGTAAGAGAGTGAACCTGTATTTGGACATATAATCTGTTCCCAGTTCACTATAATACCTCCTATGTAAGGGGGTATTCTAGTTAGACAGATGCCACTGTGACATCAGGACAAGATACAAACAATCAATTTATATGAATGCACGGTCGGTGCAGTGGTGCCCAGCCAGGAAAAAATCCCAGTGTTGGGCAACGTTTTATTAAAATATATATATTTTACGATTTCCTTGTCTATCAGTATATATATTTCTATAGTTATGTATGTATAAATAGTTGTTCAAATTATGTTTTATTTAATTAAGACACTTTGTGTATATTAAGTTTTTTGCTAAGGTTTTGGGACCAACCCATCTGTATTCGTAATTACTTAAATATTATAACAGGCCAAGAACAATGTAAGTTACGATCAATTTTACTTTTAATTCAATCTAGTTTTGAAATATTAACGAGAATTTTCTAACATCTATATTGTATTCATACCATGATTTCAGATTATTTTGAAATAGATACTTTTTAGTTCTGAAAATAAATCTACAAGAAGCAACATTCATTGTTGTTCTGCCTTGTTGACCAAGTGATTCTGGGTTTTAGTCAGTAAAAAAAGTCTCAGTTATAGCACGGAGACTGGATTATGCCTGGTATATAACAATAGGCTCACTCCCTATTACATGGGAATCATAACATAATAGTAAAAAGTGGGTGTTACATTGCACAGTGGCATTAAATGCCGTAATGTGCACCTCTGTCTACCCCTTCGGGGATATAATGCGTGATGTTACGTATGCAACATTCATCACTTTATTAGGATTTTTACCTGATGACCTTAAACTCATTGTTAAATACTATTATCTTTTATTATGATTTTAAATTATTTTATTCATTGATAAAATCCTCTCGTTCAGTATTTGTTAATATTGTCTTGGCCTGTTCTTTAGATTGTCATCACAATTTTTTCTTATATTGTTTTTTGTATTATGTTTCTTCAACATTGTAAATAGGTAAACTAACATACCGTAAAATGAGGTGAATTGGGATCGAGAGGTGAATAGAGACAAGAGTGGTGAATCTTCTTCCTAGTCGTCTTTTCCATTACTGACGGTCGTGTCTAGTCTGGTGCACGCGTCACTTGATGCACAACCCTCCTCCAAACGCCCCTGTCCTCTACGGTCTTTATGGCTTGTGGAACTGTCTGGCCGGTTAGGTTTTTTACAGCATCCAAAAGGTAGGTGAGCGACCACAAGGTCTTTTCCCGTTAACCCGACCAACAACAACAACGAGTGGTGAATAGATATTGGGAAATTCTTCATAGTATCGATACTACCCCTCTTGTCTCTATTCACCTCTCGATCCCTATTCACCCTATTTAACCGTATCTATAGAACACTGAAACAAATTAAAAAGTGATTTAAGTACATAAGAAATTAGGTTTAAATTGCATTTTTCATTTTGTTTACTTTTCATTTTGTTTTTTACGTTTTGATAGAAAAACTTGTGCCTAGTCACCGACTAGTATTTTAGATATACACTAGTATTGTGTATACATGTGTACCTATAGTTAGATTTAATATATTTTGTAATCACTGACCGTAAAATGAAATAATCTTGTCTAACTCAATTTTGTGTTTCTTTTGTCACTAAATATGGTGATCAATTGTCATTCTCATTACTCTTCATTCCACTATTACTACAATTCTTGCTTACTAGGTATCTTTTCTTTTTTAAAAAATCGTTGCCCCACACTAGGATTTTCTCTTGTGTGGTGGGTGCGTTTACAAACATACAAGTTTACATTCACAATGACACCCAGCCCCGGAACATCAATTTGTAGATCACACAAAGAGCTGCTCCGTGCGGGAATCGAACCCGCGACACATTGCGCGGCAGCCAGTAGCCCAGCCACCGCGCCAACAGTGCAGCAGTTTTTAAACGTTGTCCCACTCTAGGGTTTTGTCCTATGTCGTCGGAGTGTTTACAAACATACAAGTGCATACACATGATATTTTATGTACACTCGGAACAACAAGTAGCTCCGTACGGGAATAGAACCCGCTACATGTTACGCGGCAGCAGGTTGCCCAGCCACTGCGTTAACTGTGTAGTACATAGTGTTTAGTATTCATATCAGAAAACCTGGAAGTAAAATACCAGTACAAGGTGGTAATAAAACCCAAATTCCAATTCTCATATCACTTTGTCTTTATTGAGAAATAAATAAAATATTGAGCAAATAATTTCACAAATCAAAATAATTAAAATATTATGTTTGATACATTTTTGGTTATCCACAATAATTTTGTTATAAAATTATCGTTGTTTAAAATAAACATAATATCATTGAATATAATCACAATAAAGGAATAATAATAAAATATTTAAAAAATAAATTACAGCCAAATTAAATATTAAAGTTCAATCAATCTCAAAATCTAACATACCACTGGGTATTTTTATATAAAAGTGATTTTACTACTTAATTTTAATTTTTTCATAAATAATATCGATTATTATGGATAATATATTACAAATAATTATCTAAAAGAAAATGGCTGAATAAGAAAACGCTAACTAAATTATGAAGACTCACTGAGTTGGAAGATCATATTTACGTGAGACATACTAAATTAAGTAAAATCGCGGGTTACTCACGTGAATATACTGAGAAGAGCTCTACTAGTTTCGAACCACAGAGGGGTTCTTCCTCATGAGCAGCGTGCGCAAGCGCGGCGACGTCGCGCAGCTCACTCAGAGTGAGCTTCGAGCTCTTCTCAGTACATTCACGTGAGTAATCCGCGATTTTACTTAATCATATTTACGAATGATGACCAGCAGTTCAGCGTATCCTTTTCTGTATTACATTTTTAACTTTATTGTATTGACATAAAGTCGCAAATGCAATGAATAAATTTGACCGACTGGAGTAGGTTAATCTTGCTGGCCACTGTTATATTATGTAGTTTCAAATACGACACTGACCAATAACTTGACGTGAACGACATCAGTCACTATTATGATAGTATCTTCCTTAAGGGTCAATTTAGGGTGGCATCGAAGCAAATAACCTTTTATTTGTATAAAGATTTAAACCTTTATCTCTACAACAGAATGCACATATTACTTCGGAGATATAAAAGGATGCTTGCAACGTACGCGCCTCAATGAATACGAGTCTTTTTGCTCTCCAGCGAAATTGACCCTTTAGAAAAATTATCATTCAGATCGTAGTATAATTATATACATACATATTAATGCATAGTAGCAGATAACTAAATTTAAAAAAATCGCGTTTACTCAGTAGGCTGCGCGACATCGCCTCGTATTTAGTATGTCTCACGATAGTTATAATAGAAACATAGCTGATTCAGGAAAAAATAGCAACCAGGAATATAATAGGGATAAAGACAGGGTATGAATATTAAAAATCTAATTAGTCCGTCAGTTAGGTAATGAAAAAATATTAGACGCGTATTTTTTTATTTTGTCGTATAATAAAACAATACTTAGATAAAACGAATCAAAGTTTATGAGTGGGAAGTAGCAACGTTATTTAAGAGTATAAATCGTACTCAAAAGTTACGTCTTGCGATATTTCAAATCAATATATCTTCGAAACTATTCGTTTCCGTAAGAAAACAAAAATACGTGTCTAATATTTTTAAATAATCTGCTAGACGGACATTAAAATAAAAATTAGTCATCTACACTTCCCTCCAACTCTGCAAGACACACATGACGACACATGAAACTAAACAAACCAGTGTATTATGACCCCGCTTTATATGCTCTTTCCACGCGTTCAATGGTCACTTTATACTGGTTATACATAGCTGTATGTGACATTTACAATGGTAACTAATGCCGGAATACTGAAACGTTACTCAATTTTTAGTCGTGTTTAAATATCGTGCCATCTCTGTCATTTTACAAAGAATTTGTAGAGACAGAACTATACTTAAGCAAGACTTAAAATTGAGTAGCGTTTCAGTATTCCGATAAGTGACATAATCATACATACAACTACCGCCGTGCATCATGTAAAACATTACTCCTACGCTATGAAGATTCTTTGGTAAACAGGTATGTTCCATACAAAATCTTAGGCCTTCTAACATGTTATAAAACTACACTAAAAATTATGGCTTTGCCAATATTATCAGACATTTAAATACATACTCGTATGTTATATCCTGCCAATGAAAAGAAAATAATATAATAATGATAAATTAAATACTCAAACATTGTTGAAGTTTGGTTCAAAATCCTCCTTACGTTTATACTACGTGCGTTTTTATAAACATGGCCGTTTCAAAACGTGTAAAAATCTACTTTACTTTTAGTCTATTACGCTAGCTAATCAATTTCTAAAAAACATTTATATCTAAGAGGCAGTTATTGTTATTGAATTTGTAACTTGTAAACACGTTTTTCTGACAATCGGGGGCTACCGGATTTGGCTCAACAGATGACGCTAGTGTGAACCTCTCAACTTTTCGTCCAATAGGAAAGTAGATAGATACCATTAGACGTATACTTTTTGGCCAATATGAACTTTTCATAGATTAGCGCCATCTATTGAGCAAATATCGAGAATGTCCGATTAGTATCGAGCTTGAAGCTTAAACCTTGTCGAGCATGTCTGAAATATATATATATTAATTATATTATAATTATTTAACAAGTCGTTTAATAAACAACGTTATTGTTTACGAATATCAATATGAAAACTGCGAGACTAGCTGTCTTATATAAATGTTACACTACTTTGGCTGACGACTTCATATAAATATTAATTCACGTTAAAACTTAAAATAAATTACATTAAGGAACGTTTATATGACTTAAAACTTAAGTGTTATTTTGTAAAAGAAAATTCAACTAATTAAAAAGATTGCATTTTGAACAGAAATGGCTAAAGAACAAGAAATGTTGTCCAATTAAAATATTAAAAAAAAAATAGTTTCTTTTGTAAAATGATAGAAAGAAAATGGTGATTTTTTTTCTCACCAGATGGAGCTAATATGAAACTCTCGTCCAAAAGGGAATAAACTAGCGTCATTCAAGTTTTGACAGCTGATTGGACAAACTGACCTCTAGCTTGCTCTTAGCGCCATCTAGCGTTCGAAAAACCGGTAGAACTAATTCCATAATATTATTTAGATTCTTCGTCACTTTTCTGATTTCTGACACCCATTCTAGTACAGATATTAAAACTTACAAAATAACATTAAAATATCAAATTATAGTTCTTATAAAACTCACTTATAAATGCGCGAACACCCTGATTTGAACGCAAAATCAAAATTATTATGACATTTTAAATAAATTAAATTTTAAATTATTATGGCAAGAAATTAAAAAAATGAGCTAAATATAATATTTTGTTTCTACTTAAATATAAGTTGTGATGGTAGAACTGTGACTTCTAAAATTGGATTACATATTTTATTTTACTTTCGTTATTGAAAAATCTACTTTAAAAGTAACGAAATAAAGATGACTTTACTATGATTTTTGAACATTGTATATTTTTTTATTTAAGGTAATTATAGTCTGCAACTCCAAGTCACAAAGATCTACATCTTACAGTATAAGCAACAAAATATTATGCCGTATTTTTGGTAACATAATGTCTTAACAATTACAATTATTTATATTAATTTATTTCTAATAATTTACAGTAAAAGCTCCCAAATATACATATACACATTATATCTACAATTAGACATTTTTCTCAGACTTCAGACGAAAGCAGTCATTGCGGAATGTTTTGGAAACAGGAGATTCTGACCGTTCTGTTATTTTTTTTAATATTTCAACACTGAATATAACAGATTTTGAATTTAGAAAGCCGTTATAGAAGACGTGTATGAAATATTCTCTATTTCTTCATAAGGCCGTAATAATAAAAATAATAACCGATTGATTGTTGTCATTATTTCTATTGAATTTAAGTCCAAATTCAATTATTTTGGATTAATGTCGATTATTAATTTTGAGCGTAAATTAAAAAATATTTTCAGTAGTTTGTAATTGCATTGTAATGTATAGAATAACTGATAACATCTTCACTATTACGTGTCTATTTATTATGATAATGCCTAAATAAAATCTGTAAGTTTAAATACAAATTCAAATAAAACCATATGCATGAGAAATCACTTTCAAAAACTGCTACAAGTACAAGCAAAAACGAACCTTATAGTTCGATAACATACATGTGACTTTTAACCTTATCCCATTAACTTTACAGTCTACATTTGAATGGGTTATTCTGTTATATTCAGTGCGACATTTAGCTAACGATTTTCTAAATCTTTGGTATCGTTACCTTTGAGGATTTTAGGCATAACGCCGCTGCCGTATTTGACTCCATAAGGTCTTAAATGGTATATTAGATAGTCGAGTACGTACATTAGCTGCGGGCCCACGTAGTGAAAGGACACTGCGTGATCTGAACAACAGTCAAGACCCTGGAAAGATATAATAAATATTAGTATGAAATGTAGAAGTAGTATATTTAATTAAGGATGGTTTTAGAGTCACGCTGACCGCTCAAGGTTTGTTTTAGAGTCAGGTTGACCGTCGGCGCTGATAGCCGAAACGTTATCTAGATAATAATAAAAAATAATTAAAGAAATCTTAAATTGTCGTTCTTTTAAATATGAACAGCTGTTGTACTGGCCATGGCCATGTTTATGAGGGTCGTATAGTGTATATTATATAATTATGTAATTGTGTCATAAATTCAATAAAAATATTATTTTGTTATATTTTTAATTTATTACAAATATTATAAAACCATGAGGAGTCGAAATATATGAACTTCTTCTTTTTTTTCACTCAACACTCAACATACTTCAACTTTTCAGCGCGCACGGTTCCTAGAAGTTGATATATTTCGGCTATCAGCGCCGACGATCAGCGTGCGGTCAGCGCGACACCAAAACCAGCCTAAGATCTGATTCATAAAGACATAATTGGGACAATCTAGTTAGGTAGCAAAGATTTTCTTTTAAAATAAACTAATTTTAATTTCTTTTTTAGTGCATAGTTTTACATACAACTCAATATAATAACGATGACTATATTTATCACACAAATTTCAATAGGGTAGTTTCCTTAATTTTATTTTAATGTCCGTCTGGTAGATTATTTTAAAACATTAGACACGTATTTTTCTTTTCTCATAATATTAAATGCTTTCGACGATACAACGATTTGAAATGTAGTGTGACGTCACAGGGTGCTACGAAATGTAGCACGTTGTGACGTAACTACCTCCCACTCCTAAACTTAACTCATTTATAACATTTTATTTTATAACATTTTATTTTATAACATTTTATTTAAGTATTGTAACTTTATACGAGACAATAAAAAATGTGTGTGTGATATTTTCATTATCTAACTGACGGACTAATTTGATTTTTAATTTTCTTACCCTGGAAACTACCCTATTATGTGAAGGTGCTAAATCCGATTACGATACTTCTCATTGCATCTGACATTATTCATTAATAATTTAAACAATATAATGAGGTCGTGGTGGCCCTGAGGGTTTTTATGCATGAGAGTGCAGGTCCGAAACCTACCAACGACAAGTACCAATGTGACTTTTTCCGAATTATATGTACTTTTTAAGATTATTTAGACACCACTGACAAACGGTGAAGAAAGACCTGGGCTTATAATTTCTAATTATAATTTTGAAATCGCCAACCCGCATTGAGCAAGCGTAGTGAATAATGCTCACACCTTCTTCATGTGAGAAGAGGTTTTGCTCAGCAGTGGGCATTTATAGGCTGTTGATGATAATGATGATGAATTTAAAACAATCAGGTACGTCTACATTCTATTAATTTTTATATCTAGGCCAGGTAATGGGCCATGAAAGTCACTCACCTCATCAGTAGGATAGAAGATGTAGTTCCAGTACCAGAAGTCTTTGTCTCTATTGGGGAACAGATGGTCCTGCGGCACGAACGGGAAGAACCGACCGCGGTGGAACTCATCGCGCGAGTCCATTGCACGGACGCCTATCTTATCGAGGCATTTACCTGCAATGCATGTGAGTATAAGATTAGATTCGATATTATTTATTAGTATATTGTATTGTCTGCCTCATTGGCCGAGTTGTCGCAAGTACGACTGCCGGGCAAGTGGTCTCGGGTAGGCCAAGAAGGCGGGTAGAGGTAACTGGGTTTTAAATAAAATCTCAGTAGTAGCACGGAGTCTGGAAATGTGCCCGGTATATAGCAAGGCATCCGACGCTGCAGAGCGAAATTTTATGGTTTGCAGCGGAAAATGGCCAATCGTATCGCACGAGGATACCGAACCGTGTCTTTTGAGGCGGTAACTCACTTGGCTCGCTTTCCGCCATTGGATATTTTGGTGGATATGGACGCAAAGGTCTACGATCAAATCCTTATGGCGGTAGGGCGCCAGGAGCGACTTTCGTTAGGCGGCAAGAAAGGCGACATCCGCTTAAACGCGCTTGAATGCGTTGCTACCTAGGTCAGGTCTTTTTAAAGAACTCGGTGCCCCTTACAGATGCTGAGGGTAGCCACCAGGGTGATTTTAGTGACGTACGAATTCCACACTACCTAATCTTTCTCCAAGAAGTTAGACGCATAATGAAGGATCCCCCATCATAAAAAAATTTAACAACTAAACCGAAACACTCAAATGAAACAATGGGAAGCAACTCACCCATCTCAGCGTCCTCAGCGCCCTGGTCTCCCGCGTTACAGAGCTGTGGCGTCGGCAGCGCTTTGTTCACGAACCTGTCCAGCGCCTCTCTGCTCAACACGTAGCCTGCACCACCACTCATGTAACCCTGTAATGACATCATCATCATCGTCATCGTCATTGTTAGCCATATTTTTTTCATGGGATAAGCTTGTAAACGAGCAGACGGATCACCTGATGGTAAGGAATCGGTGTCGCCCATGGACACCTGAAACACCAGAGGCGTTACAAGTGCGTTACCGACCTTTTGGGGATTAGGAATTTGAAGATTATTGAGGATTCAGGGATTAGGGAGGACCGGAGGAGGGATTAATTGGGCCTCCGGTAACCTCACTCATGCAACGAAACACAACGCAAGCGTTGCTTCACGTCGGTTTTCTGTGAGGCCGTGGTATCACTCCAGTCGAGCCGAGCCATTCGTGCCGAAGCTTTAGTGTTATGGGTGTCCATGGGCGGTGTGAATTGTTTACAAACATACAAGTTCACATACACATACGTAAACATAATAACTCTTTGTGGATCACACAAAGAGTTCCTTATAGGAATCCAAACCACTACACGTTGCGCGGTAGCCAGTTACCCAGCCACCGCGGCAACCGAACGGCGGCAGCGCAACCAGTCACCCAGCCAGAAAAATTGCTCAACATTTGTCGGAATACTCAAACGCTTCTCAATTTTAAGTCGCGATAAGTATAGTTTTATCTCTACAAATTCTTTGTAAAATGACAGAGATGGATGAATATTTAAGCACGACTTAAAATTGAGTAACGTTTCAGTATTCCGGCAATTGTCGGCTTGGTCGCGCAACCACCTTATACATTGGTAGTCGTAATAGCGACTACACCGCCATGGCGTCCCGGTGGAATGTAAACTTTACTCTAACAACAATACTAGTTTCACACACATACCTGCGGTGAGAAATGCTTGAACCTGCATCCAAAGTATATCGGGTCTTTGCTATCGTAGTCTGCCAGCATATATCTTAGATTTTCTACCACCACGTACCTGGAAAATATACAAAATTATATTAAACATAGACCCCATTTTTACACGTTTTATAGTAATAAAACGTGTAAAAATGGGGTCTTGGGAATGGGGATTGTATACTCTCTGTTGTAGTAACAACAGAGAGTATACAATCGTAACATCACGATTTTTATCCCCGAAGGGGTAGGCAGAGGTGCACATTACGGCACTTAATGCCGCTGTACAATGTAACACCCACTTTTCACTATTTATGTTGTGAGTCCCATTTAATAGAGGGTGAGCCTAATGTCATATACCGGGCACATTTCTAGACTCCGTGCTACTATTGAGAACTTTTAAAAAATCCAGTAATATTTTGCCCGACCCGAGAATCGAACCCGAGACCCCTTGCCCGGCTGTCGCAATTGCGGCCACTCGCCAACGAGGCAGACGGATTGATTACCATAGTTTTATAATCTTATATACTATTATATAAGCGGAAGAGTTTGTTTTTTTGTTTGTTTGTTTGAACGCGCTAATCTCCGTAACTACAAGTCTGATTTGAATAATTCTTTTTGTGTTGGATAGTGAATTTAGAATATAAATAAAAAAAATAACAAAAAAACCATACACATAACCCATTTCGAATAACACAAGTACAAAGCACACAATACGCGACCCTCATAAACATGGCCGTTGCCAGTACAACAGCTGTTCATATTTAAAACAACGACAACGTCAAATTACAATAAATTATTACTATTATAACCTACACACTTTTTAATGTTTTAGTTAAAGATTAATCAATGAATTTGGCTGAAAAACATCATAATTATTAATTCCACTTGGTCATAGCGTGATGTTTGGCCGATACTTTTAATGGGACAAGCCCACCACAACGTCCCAAAACCGCAACTCCTGTAAGCCAGAATCTACAGTAGATACAACCATGAAAACATCGGAACACTGAATCTGGCGCGTCCCAGGGACATGAATAACTGTCTTGGTTCCCGCAACGAAGTGAACCAGAAAGAAGAAAAAAACGATAGTTTCCACTTCCCTCGGTGAATTACTGCAGGAGACAGAATGAATTAAGCTTAAAGGCACAAAAAAGAGACTGTACAACTGGGCGAAGCCCAGTCGCCAAGCACCACGGAAATTTGACTAAAATCTAAGTGGGTCCCATGTGTGAGCTGTTATACTTAATTGCTTCCAATAAAAGGTATGGCAAAAGCGCTTAAACGCACGGAAATTTGTTCTAGATTCCACAAGGTCCGTATAATAAGCTACACCTGACGAAACAATTAAATTATTTAACATAGTGTTACGTTCATACTGCCAGAGATCACACTCCCAGAGTATGTGATGGTGATGGGCAGACTGCTCGTATTGCAGTTTAGCCGATACTGTATACTATAGAGATAGACTATACTATAGTTTTGCTTTTCTATACTTTCCTTGATAAATGCTCTACCCAACATTAAAAAAAAAATCAAATCAGATCAGTAATTCCGGAGATTAGTACGTTCAACTTTAACCACAGAGTGTTTCATGATTTATTTTTTTATAGTAATAATACCTTGAGCCTGAAATTATATTCTATGTATAGCTACACTAGCTTTTACCCGCGGCTTCGCTCGCGTCACAAAAGGATAAAAAGTAGACTATGTGACATATACCAATACACACAGCGCCATCTATACCAATACTTTTGTTTTTCCTCGGGAATATCAAATTTTTCCGGGTTAAAAAGTACCCTATTATTTAATCCGGACTTCGAATTTTACGTCTGCAAAAATTCAAAGCAAACGGTTTAGTAGTTACGGTGTGAAAGTGGAACAAACAAACAAACAAACTCACTTTCCGTAAGTAAGGATGTTACGACTCATAAATCCAGGGGCAAATTTAATCTAGAGAGCGCCCTCGACAGTACTCATAGGCGCCTCTAGTTTTTATTGGCGCCGCCTGCCGTCACTTTATATGCCTCTCTGTAACCTGGCGCCCTGGGCACTTGCCTAGTCTGCCTTAAAGATAATACGGCTCTGCCTAAATCTCATAATCGTAACACAACTTGCGAAAAATAGGCGTTGTACGTATATATATAAATCTATTTCGTTTTCATCCGTATCTAAATGAGAATGATTTTATTTTGTAAGTACTTGAATTGAAAACTGTGTTCCTAATTTATACTCTTCTTTTTTTGTTGAAAACTGTGTTCCTAATTTATACTCTTCTTTTTTTGTTTATGTTTTTTCTTTTTATTGGGTTGTTTGTCTTCAATTGTAAAATATTATCCAATGCATTTTACTATGTATATCATTTGCATGCTTAAATGGTAAAATATGGCTGAATCTGTATTTTTATGTTACCTGTAATTGTTAGGTACCCATATTTGCAAAATAAAAGTATCTTTATCTTATCTTTATCCCACGGCAAAACAACTTGCCATAAAGAGTACTGACGATGTATAAAGTAAAAACAAAAAAAAAGAAGTCGTTTTTTTATTAAAAAAACTTGGAAATACGCACATAATACATTAGATGTAAATTTGTAGGTACTATTGGCATCACACGTACTACCCGACGATAAATAAATCGAGAATTAAATGGCGTGATGTTCTGATAATGTACTATGAGTTCGTATGTGCTTTCGATTTTTGCTTTATATAATGGTTCACCGTTATTTTATGTTTTAATCATTTTATTTCTTTGTAAAAATATTGTATTACGAAGACAGAACAATGTAAAATTGTTCTGACTGTTTTGGACGAAAACAAAATAGATTTTATGGTGAATAAAATGAAATAATTATGTGCACTGTGCACCTCTGCTCTGCTTATCTGGGGAACAAAATGCGTCATAAACATACAGCATTATGTCTAAAAAGCGTTTTAATCTTTATCAAATGAATGAAACGGAAATTATTATGCTATTCACGGACAATGGACGGACGAATTGGCATATTTTGTAATTAGTTGAGCTAATGTGTCGCACTCGTAATGTACTCGTAGTTAACTATATTTATTATCATTAGTTATTACACAAATACAAAAGAAGCAGCAATTGAAGGCCATGAGGGCCTTTATAAAGCACTAAAACATAAAACTTTGTGAATTTAAAGTTCATTAAAAATATAATAGGGTCTGACTTCCATAAGGGAAAACTCTTTCTTTAGGTGATCTTTTTTGCAGGGGGAATATCATGAGATGTAAGAGGGAGTGTCAGACTCCTACTGACAAAAAACTACCCAGTTCCTAATCCTGCACTTCGAGCCGGAGCCCCGGCAACCCGTTAAGTCCTCCGCGGCTCCGTATCGGCATCAGCCCTGTTGGTCGCCATCCGTGGTGGTCTGATGGCTATTTGAGACGCGCGCGGAACACGACGCGCCGTACTCTCGGGCCTGGTTCTGAGGGATTAGTACGAGTGCCTTTTTTGTTTAAAGTAATCGTAACGAGTACGGCATCCCAGTCCCTCCTTTAAGTGATCTAGTTTTACAAATCATTGTTTGGAGTCTGGGTGTGTGATGTGTAGGTACGTGAATTGTGTATGTTTGAAAAGTACTTTAATTTTAGTTTAGGACCAAGTGTTTTTTGGTGAAAGAACAACTAAATAAGGCGAAGGACTCACGGCGGGATCTTGTCACGCGCCGGCAGTGGTTACGGGCCGGCAATCTTACAGATATGCATGTAAAAAATCCTTGAGCTGAGTCCTTAACCTTACTGTCGGAATGTCGGCTTGTACTTAGTATTTACACGTTTATTTGTATAAAGCGAAAACTAAAAAAACAATACATACCTATACATATTTTCGTATGCAAAACTCCCTAATTTAAAAACACTTTTTATCTAAACACGTCCGTTACAGTGGCAAAACTGGATGCTGATATCAAAAATGCATATTCAAAAAGAAGGGCAATTCATAGTGATAATTCTAAACTGAAATATTAATTTATAAACAACATGTTTTCTTTTAAGTCCAGTTCACATTATTTTGATCCAGTACATTTACCGGAACAGGGTACCTGATAACGTTAAAATCCCGAAAGCAGTATTTATGCTGGATCTGGTACACACGGCTACACATCGAGCTTTACATAACCAGTATAAACTGCACGTTAAATGTGCGGAAAGATGATGCGACGCGACACCAGGATAAATTGGTTTTGTATAGATTGATGTGTGGCCGTATGTACAACGCAACTGTAAAGGAGTTTGCATTGCAGGAGAAGGAACGGGGTGATTTTTAGTCAGTAAGAGTCTGACACTCCCTCCCGCCTCACCCAGGCGGGAGCAGTCATTCGATGATTTTCTCCACTTAAAAAATCTAATACTAGCTTTTGTAGTATATAGTTTTACCGTGCCGGCAAAACAGCCGGATCAGAAAAGTATGAACACGGTCTTACATTCAAGGAAAATACGTTTTTATTTTTACTATAAATATGACTTCATTGACAGTTCCGGAATATATTATCTATTTGCCAAGCGTATATTTGTTACCAGCGCCACTGTTTTAACAGGTGAATAATTTTTCCATTTGATCAAACGTCACCAAATAATGTGGACTACGAAAATAGTTGTTATGACTTCAGAAATAAAGTCGTTATTAAGATCAAAGTGTAGATTGTGACGTGAAATTCTTTGGTATCGTTTTATTTGCTACAGAAACGTAATATTAATTGATGTTTACTGTTCGTTTCGAGGTAATAGTGGAGTTCGTATCAATATTCAAAGATGTTTCATCATTATTATTCAATACTAACTGTACCGGTCAGCTACATGCCAATAAAATTACTTTCAAAATCAGTCCAGCCATTTCAGAGATTAGTCAGTACAAACAGACCGACACACAAAAATTGAAAAAGCGTGGTATTTTGGTACATGTATCGTATGTAGTAAAAATCGGTTATTTCAATATTATAAATAGACACTCCAACTTTATTTATCTATATAGATTTTATTTATCAATTCATTATATTAACAAACATAGAATTGGAAATAAAGTCTAGATATATTTGCTCAACCTAAGAAACGAAGTTCTCTTCAAAACCAACAGGCAACAAGATATAACTTAAACCAAGTATGCGCATTAAATCAAGAACAGGTGTGTATTATAATCAAAATGCTATCACTACAACGCTCAAGTACCTTGAGTGAGAAAATTAAAAAAAATATAGGCATTGAAGGTTTTGTTTACCTACTCCAAGAAACAAGGAACAATAATATCTCAGTTCCAGTCATCAGAGAGCCTTGGCAAACAGTAATACCTATACTAAAGGTAAGCCGTCAATAGAACACATACCGAGCCGACCACGACCGTATCTAAAAAGGGTGTAATGCGCTTTCTTATGTAAATCCAATACGATTGAATATCACGTGGATTGTAATTGTTGTGATAAAGTAAATAGTTTGCAGCTTCCTTGTTGTAGGTACTATAGCTATTACTCTACAGAGGCCAAGATCAATGTGAAATGTTTGTAAGCAGAGCCGTATTATCCTTAACGCAAAGGAGCGTTAGGCGCTCTGATTGGCGGGATCAAAAAACCAACCAATTAAAGCGCCGTATGCGATCTCATTTCAATAACTTTTAAAGTAACGTAGAACTAACTCGTACACAAAACTGTTGCGAGTTCCCTCTACGCATCGCAAGAACTTGCGAATGCGCGATGCGAATTGATCGCGCATCAAAATCTTATCTTCTCAAAATATTCTGTTTCTTTTCCTGTATCCTGTAAGCAATAACAGAAGTGCACACTACTTTTTACGATCCATGTCACGACCTAGTTTTCAATTTAAAATACGTTTAGTACGGTTGGCGGTCGTCGAAGGAATGGGCACCCTGGGAGACGCCTTGTCGCACGAAATCGCATCGCAGCAATTCGTGTAGTAATTATCTGTGTTGCGAATTCGCATCGCATCGCAATTTTGTGTACGAGCTTTAAGGCCTCTGCAGCTGTAGCCAAATGCCACTTAGCGCTTGTCTACATGTAGAATAGAAAACCAAATTATATGACATTGACGTACATTTTAACACTTGTAATCCCCATACATTTAGTTTTCTACTCTCTCTGTAGACAAGCGCTACACTGGCGTTTGGCTAAAGGTACAGGTTACAGAGAGGCGCTGCGACATCGCAAGACACGGACACGGGTCCATAGAGCGACATAGTAAGTACATAGAACTCGGAAACATTCACATTGGTACTTGCCGCTGGAAAGTTTCGCACCCGCACTCTCATGCATGAGAAGCGGCGATCATAAACCTTCGGGTCACCACGACATATAGACTTAATTAAATAAAATGTGGTGTGGACTTACGTATCATCATCAGCTTTCAAGAACCAGTCGGCATCTCTCCTATGGTGTTCGTATACATAGCGGAATGCTGCCTTCGTTTTTGCCCATAGGAAGTCCCTCCCTTCGTTCACTGGCAGTTTTACTGTTGGCAGGCTCGCGTCTGTATGAAAGGAAATGAATTAGATTAAGAATATAAAATTATACTGTGTTCAGCATATGTATGCTATACAATTCTGGATACTATAGATTTCCAATGAAATCCTAATTTTTTTTATAATAACTATCGTGAGACATACCAAAATAACTAAAAATCGCGGGTTACTCACGTGAATCGCCGTGACCGCGCACGCTGCTTATGAGGAAAAACCCTCAGTGGTTCGAAACTAGTAGAGCTTTTCTCAGTATATTCACGTGAGTACCCCGCGATTTTTAGTTAAATCCTAACTATTCCTGATATAACATATTCGTAAACATTCTGACGAAGGTATGAAGATATCTCTAGCTACTTTCGCGCGGTTTTACCCCCTCTGCTCGGCGCATATTGATCGTAGCGTGATGTTTTATAGCAAATAGCCTTCCTTAATAAAAGGACTATCCTACACAAAAAGATTTTTTCAAATCGGACTTATAGTTTCAGAGATTAGCGCGTTCAAACAAACAAACAAGCAAGCAAACTTTATACAATAGTATAAGATACAAGATAAGAAAAGACTCATCAGTCATCAATCATTACGCAGTTGTAACTTTTCTAATATTGCATGTATCCATGGACAGTGCAGATCATTTACCATCAGGTAATCCATCAGTTCGAATACCTCTATTCTACCCAAATCCCTCTATCTTCATTAAAATACTCCGTAAATCTGATTCTTTGCTTTTGAGTACTTTTTCCTCTTCGAATGAAGAAGATGACACGTTAGGTATGTTAATTAAGTAACATTTTATTGTGTTGTGTGCGCTATTCTTTTACTATTTATATCAAACGAAACGTCACACAAAGGTATTTATAAATGTTGTTGTTGGCGCTATTGATCGATTGTTTAAATATTTTCTACTTATTTCATACTAGGTAGGTACATAACATATCATCGTGCAGCACAATTACTATCTTACACCTACGACAATTGTCGCAAGATGTTTTATCAACCCAGTTGTAATGCCATAATATATCAATTTACTTCAGTACATATTTCTATTATTCCTACGTCAGACAAAAGTATTTAAAAAAATAATACACCTTTTATCCCCGAAAGGGTAGGTAGAGGTGCATATTACGGCACTTAATTCCACTGTACTACGTAACACCCACTTTTCACTATTTATGTCATGAGTCCCATGTAATAGGGGGTGAGCCTATTGCCACATATTTTCGTAATTCCAGTATTTTACTTTAATGTTTTCTAAACTCATCATACAAGGCGATCCTTTTATGAACTGCCTAGCCTTTACCAATGCCCGCGTATTCCTGTTTTGTCCCATAAGAGCATGTAATCGGGTTAAAAAGTATCCGACCACCTAAGTCAGACTATATACGCTTTGTATATACCATATTTCATCAAAATCCGTTCAGTAGCAGAAGTTTCAGCCTGATTGACGGAAAAACATCCAAGCAAAGAAACTTATACATTTATAATTATTAGTGTGATTTTTTCCTAGCTGCTTATTTTGTTAATTTAAACTTGACTGAAAATGTGTCTTTCAAGTCATTTTTCCTGTCAAACAAACAGAAAACGATATTGACAATATCTTATAAAGGGTCATTTCAGTCTCTAGGGGCGACAAAAATTTGAAAAAGGATTTTGCTTTTGGTAAAAATCCACATAGGCTACCAACAAGGGTTTCCAGGGTTACGGGTCAAAGCAGGAGTAGGAACGGAGTGGTTTTTAGTCAGTAAGAGTCTGACACTCTCTCTCGCTTCACCCGGGCGGACGGAGAAAAAATTGGCTACAAAAAATTGTACTCACCTTCAACACTGCTCATAAAAATAAGTTTGTTACACCGCTTGCCCCAAGTAGCTTTCACGTGTTTCGCTTTAGCCTCATGGTTCTTCGGTTGTGTCATGACCCAGCACAACACCCTGACTCTTCGGGATAGCTCATCAGCCACCGATCTGTCCTCATCTTTATGCGCTGGTTCATCATTACTGTGTTCTCCAATAGCTGTGATCGGGTGCTTATCCAAATCCCTTACTGATTCCCTGGAATTGTATGAGGCTTTTTAGATTGATTCTAGAACCCTGTACAATATTTCCATCCCGTATAGAATTGAACTGTTGTTGCCGTTGTTCGGTTTCCCAATGGTTTATCACAGTCCATTTTAATCCCATGTAGTGATGAATAAATTGATTGTCATAGTATCACAAATCACATACGAATGACACGTGTGGTCCCAAAGACAAAAATATAGGCTGGGAATCTAACCCAAGTTCCTGAGCTGAACTATACCACTTAGGTACCTACTAAATACTAAATTATAAGCCAAAACAGTCTTTATTAAGATTTTAAATAGGCATGTATTTCTATAAACTGCATAATAGACTAAAAGTATCAAATGGAGTGTTCAAAAAAATATTAAGAATTTTGAGAACAGGAAAATGTTTAAATGTCTAACATAATGACCTTGCAAGTTATTTGATTGGATTTACCAAATTAAACCGTAATGTAATAATAATAAAGACGATATCAAATTCCAACTCTTATCATGGATGAGCAGCTAATAATGTTTTAGCGGACGAGCTACTAAGTGATAAGAGAAATTAAGTCATTGCAATCTTGTATTCAAAACATTAAACGTACGGCATACGTATTTATAAAACTTAGAGAAATGGCTAAGCTTGGAGAATTGGGACGATGACAGGGTATGAAAATTAAAAATACAATTAGTCCGTAAGTTAGGTAATTAATATTATTTTTTCGTATAATAAAACAATATTTAGAAAAAACTAATTAAAGTTTAGGAGCCCCGCTAAAACGTCATTTCTTAGTATAAAATGTACTGAGAAGTGACGTCACGCGACGTTCAAATCAATATATCTCCGAAACTATACGTTTCCGTAAGAAAATGAAAAATACGTGTCTAATGTTTTTAAAGAATCTACCAGACGGACATTAAAATATAAATTACTCATCTACCCTATCAGGGTAGACGACTATTTATAACGGCGTCATGGTGTGACATTTTTTTAGTTTAATACTAAATGCAAACACAAATTTTAAATAGATCACTCTTAACCGATTATTTTTTTATCTTTTTCATCCTACTCGCATCGGTATAAGCGATACTTTTGCATAAAATGCATTCGGATACATCCTTAAACTGTCAAACACCAAGCGGTCACCGGTGACCGCGACCTATTGTTCTTTAATTGTGTCTATAAAACCGGTACTCGACGAGTTAACCTATGGATACGTTGGTTAGGTACCCACTTAATAGTTTTTATCATCAAATATGGACACAATAATACGAAGGCATATCGGAAAAATACCTCCAGGATTGGCTATTTAAATAAACTGAACCTCTGTTCAAAACAGGCCTCTGCCTTAGTACAAGTTTGTCTTACGTTTAAAGTAATCGAAACGAGACCTCGTTCGGCACTCTGAGGGCCAAGCACGAATAATTATCGTATTCGTATCGTAACAGTATCGAGCGAGTTAAGCGTTCAGGGTGCTTACTCTTGAAACCAATTTCAATGTCAATGCAATTTCAATCCAATAAAACCTCAATAATTATTTAATGTCAACCCTATACAACCACAATCGTAGCTGTTACAATAGCATTCAGAGTACGGAATATAAAACCAAACTCAATACCATTTAGTTTATTCAATATTCACGCAATACGTATGCAATGGGCGCTAGTGTCGTGACTCGAGAGTACGAAATTTCACAATACCAATATCGATCGATCGGAATTGGATTTAAGAGTAAGCCTACTGATTGGTTGGTTCACTTGAGCCGGCCAATCAGAGCGCCGAACGCGCTCGATACTATAACGTTACGAATGCGATAGTTATTCGTGCTTGGCACTCTGATTGGTTGGTTCATTGTCGCCGGCCAATCAGAGTGCCGAACGCGTACTCGTTTCGAATACTTTAAACGTAAAAGAAACTCGTAAAGTCTCAGTACATGTTCAAGAGTCATACTAAAACATACCTCTGAGCATGCAATATCGAATTTAACGAGATGTTGCTCAAGGCATGAAATTAACTATTACAATGACATATACACACACCGGCAAAATTAGGGGAACACAAAAAAAAGACAGTTCTTTTTTAATTATTAGCTTTTTATGAATGTTTTTTCGATTAATTTGGGTTTGGGTATTCAAAATAAATATGACACAATAGGAATTAGGGTTGAACATTATTTATTTACAGATACTTACAAAAAAATAGGAAATTTAAGTCCTTTACATTTTATTCAATATTTTTTTAAAATTTAATTGTCATATTTTTTTTATAAATTTCCTAATTAATACCTCGTATTGCCACCGCGGGCTCTAATTAGGGCTTGAATACGTCTGCTCATGCTTCTAATGACACTGTCAATCATTTCTTGGGGTAAATTGGCCCACTCTTCAATTAACGCCAATTTTAATTCCTCAACATTCCTAGGAGGTGGAATTCTCTCCCGCACTTTGCGTCCAATCATGTCCCAGACATGCTCTATCGGGTTCATGTCTGGAGATCGTGCTGGCCAGTCCATTTGGGTAATTCCAATTGCATTTAAGTAATCGCGAACCACGCGAGCAGTGTGCGGCCTTGCGTTATCGTGCATAAACACAAAATCTGGCCCTATAAATGGGGCAAAAGGCATTACATGGGGTTCTAGGATCTCTGTTATGTACCTGTGTGCAGTCAGAGAGCCGCCTTCAATAATGACCAACGCGGTGCGGGCTGTTGAAGTAATGCCACCCCACACCATAACGGACCCTCCACCATATGACACCGTTTCGGTAAAATTGGCTTGATGGTACCGTTCTCCTCGATACCTCCACATCCTTTCCCTCCCGTCGATGAAATTTACACAAAATCGGCTTTCGTCCGAGAATAAAACATGACCCCATTCATCGGACCAATCTTGGTGCTGACGAGCGAACGCTAATCTTGCAACTCGATGACTTACCTCAAGTTTAGGCGCTTTTGCTGGCACGTATGACTTTAAACCAACTTCGTTTAACCTTCTTCTTACTGTTCGTTCACTAACTCGCACGTTACGCACTTCTTCTAAAAGGTTTCGGGTCTGCACAGCTGTTTGACGACGGTTTCTCAACGTTTGCACCCTTATGAAACGATCATCTACGGCACTGGTTGCACGCTTTCTGCCTTGTCCCTGCCTCCGTACGTAAGATCCCGTCTGTCTGTATCGTTTGACACAACGGTGGATCACAGATACTGATACACCCAACGTTCGACTCACTGAACGGTATGTGTGCCCTTCCTCGATCATTGTCACAGCTTTGGCAACTTCAGTTGCTGGTAAATCACTCATTTTGTATGCAATACAATGTTAACTCTTCAAACAATAACAACAAAATAAGCTAGGGCCTCTATTGACTGCTCCAACAAAATCCTTATCAAAAACACTTAAAAGCGCTGACACTCAATAAACACTTGAGAGCGTATAATTTATGCTAGATTGTTGAAAAATGTCAAAATATCTCAAAATATTGTGTTGTACGAAGGTAATTTCATAAATAAATTAACCACTTGACAAATCATTCACGAGTTCCAAAAAAAATGGCCCTTTTTTTTGTGTTCCCCTAATTTTGCCGGTGTGTGTATTTTCATAAAAGAATTATTCAATGTTGAAATCAATTGTACTTGCACTGTAATATAAGCTGCTGCATGTCGCGCAAATCCCTTTTAAAAATCATGAGTCTACTTGCAGTCCAAAAATTATCATTTGGACTACGAGACAGAGCCGTATTATCTCTAAGGCCTAGGGCGCCAATTTGTAGAGGGGCGCCAAAAAAATTAGAAGCGCTCATGATGTGTGTTTAGGGCGCTGTCTAGATTTAATTCGCCTCTGCTACCAGGACATAACGTTTCAATTTTTGAACACTCCAATTGAAAAGTACCAAAAAAATACAGGTGTAATCTAATAAAAAATCTAAAAAACTTCATTCATACATAGTTTAGCGTCTCCAAAATACGGCGCAGCAAAACAAAAGCATGAAAATGATACAAAGTATCTACTGCACACTGCTATGACTACAGAGAAAAAAAGGCGCTAGTAAACGTAGATAACTACGTTGGTATACAAACAAAATATGTTACTGCTAAATGACCTGTACCTTTAGCCAAACGCCACTTTAGCGCTTGTCTACCGAGAGAGTAGAAAACTAAATGTAACATAACATCATGCCTTTTATCCCCGAAGGGGTAGGCAGAGGTGCACATTATGCCACTGTACAATGTAACACCCACTTTTCACTATTTATGTTATGAGTCCCATGTAATAGGGGGTGAGCCTATTGCCATATACCGGGCACAATTCCAGACTCCGTGCTACTACTGAGATTTTTTTAAAAACCCCAGTAATACTTTGCCCGACCCGGGGATCGAACCCGAGACCCCTTGCCCGGCAGTCGCGCTTTCGACCACTCGTAAACTAAATGTACCTATATTTAAGTCAATCCCATATAATTTGATTTTCTACTCTACATGTAGACAAGCGCTAAGTGGCATTTGGTTACAGCCGCTGTAATATTACGTAATAGATTGTAATACAGGTATTATGCTGCGTGACTAACTAAACGGTTGATACGCATAATACAATGTTATTATTATATTAAAATAGGCAGCAATAAATAAATATATTCAATCAAGTGCGATTGTTCCGGATTACTGAAAGCAGCAGGAAGAGAATCGGTATAATGTGTACTCTCTAAACAGAATATCGATGTATTTATTTTTAGATTTAGGTCTTAAGATAATTTTGGGCTCATTTCTCTTTATACAAGTACAAGATTACAATTCTTAAAAGAAAAAACTTTTAACAGTGTCTTACTAGGTATGCAAAATAATAAAATTTAATAAAAATAAACAAAACATATTATATATCAGAATCAGTCACCAAACTACGCCAGTAAGGATAAAAATCTAGACTTGTTTATGTAGCATCACTATACCTAGAACAAACCTTAGTACAGTCAACAAAAGGCTATACATATCAACATTTAATATTTTTTACATAATGACTATGGTCATTATGTAAAAAATATTTAAAAAAAAAAACACTCATTTAGAAGATATCACGGAATATCTGACCAAAACTATAAACTTTACATGCCTTCCCATCTTCCATTAAAAAGCGAGTCAATGTTGCAACATGGTTCATAAACATCATTTATAAGGTAAATTTTTGAAGATGCGCCATATTTATATCCAGAAGATACCACATCTAATATATCGTGGCTCAAAAATAATAATATTCTCATCTGCATTGATACAAAATCACTTTGGTCGTTGTCAGCAGTACCTACTAATAATACAGGTCACGTCAACTTACACAGATAACGTATGATTTGTAGCATGTGAATGCGATGCAAAGTGCTTTAAATAAATTCTACTCGCTCAATACACTTAAGAACACTTGTACGACAAAACAGAAAACAGAAATAGCGCAAAAATTAATGGCACCGTCATCCTATTTCCGTATATTCTTCGAAATTGACAAATAAATCGTCATGGGTATATTCCTACTTCTAAGACAAAGACAATTTGTTATAAATATTACGGGGCTTCAATGGCAGGGCTCGAGCGACGCACAATTCAAATAAGGAATATATTTTTTTTTTATCTTACGCGAAACTGACTTAGGGCTAGTAGGAAAAAAAATTAACATGACCCATTGTTTTGTATACAAAATCCTAAAAACTGGAAAATATTATCAGCATTTTTTGGAAACACAGATATCATATTGCATTTGGTACGCTCTATCACATTCTGAGGAGTGTCGAACATCAATTTGCAATTAGTATTTCAAAGTGTAAAGAGAATCGATTGACATTGATTCTCATTGTATGCAAGAGAATCGATTAATTGCATACGATTTGAAAATGAATCAAACGAATCCGTTCTTTGTTTAATTTTAAAGATAACGGTGAAACTTAAAAAAGAATGTCGCTATAGTGACAGTCCACTGTCGAACAATGGTATTCCTCCTACATGAAAAGGATTAGCCATTATCTTCACAAGTACGGGTTTATCAGAGAGCACGGCTGTTGGGTTTCTTCCGATAATTTATTTTTAATTTCAGTTTTCAAGAGAAAAAGAGTCGATGGATAATATTAGGTATGATCTCGAAAGGAGTTGAAATTGTGCACAAAACATAGGTAGTCTTACTTAGTGTTACTTTAATACCAAATTAAGATGAAGGTTACTTTCTAGAGAAATCTATTTTATTTCGTTTTTAATTAAGGGTTACGTTCATATCACTTTCATTTAAATATCAGTGAAAATTGAACGTAGTTCTAATTACAAACTGAACTAGAGATCACTGTGGATAAGAATACATGGTAGGAGACAATATAATTAAGAAAAACTGCTGAATACACACAATGTACTGTGTCGGACGTAGGTATGGAATGCTAAACATTGGGAATGTAAAGAATTTTAGATACAAATATTCGTTTCATCAAAAAAAAATATTACCTACGCTAAAGAATAGGTACCTAAGTATGTACATTATTTTTAACGTTATAATCAATTATGGTTTTTCCTGTTCTAGTAAAAATGATGACATTATAACTATCATGCACTTATTTCTGAATAATATTTTGACGATAAGAATATGTAGGTAAAATAAACATTAATTGTATAAGTATACAAAGGATACAAAAACAAAAAATTAGCTGTACAACATGCCGTGCAATTACATGCAAAATTACGAAAAAAAGAGAAAAGAGAGCGCCATGCGACATGCAAAATTTTAGATAGAGTTACCTGTAGGTATGCCAAACATTTTGCCGTGAGAATCCAGTCGATGTTAAAAGTATGTATGCAAAACTAAATCCAGCAGAAATCCCAATCACCAGCGTTAAAAAGAAACGTCGACCCATCACCCGACCTTCCGCCTGCACATAGTTCATCGCTTACAATCTACGTTACGTTCGAATTATATTCAAAAACTTTTTTTTTCGTACACTGCTCGCGGCTGCGACCACGCGACGAGTCGTCGAAGCGGCCTTACTCTACTTGTACTTTACACCAATTAGACTTGTCAATACGTTTACATACAATTTATTTCATGTGCAAGTAACATATAAAAGTGCTTGTAATATTTAACGTTCGCATGAGTTTGCTGGTAACAATTAACAGTGGTGGGAAGTTGGTGATATATGGTTTGGTCGCACTTCGTGTACCAAACTGCGTCATCTTAATTCAAACAATAAGTTGTTTTGCTGTAAACACGGTTGTTATGATTTTTATACGTAAACAAGAAGAAATTAAATTGAGTTTTTTTTTTCTGATAGTTAGATTGTTGTAAAATTTCGATATGGGTGCATCAACGAAAACAAAAAAGTATATTATAAAAGTTCTGGCTGACAAAAGAGCGTTGAACGTTAAATTTTTTATTAATGAATTAGTCACACGATATTTAAAGTAATATTTCTCGTAGTAAACATTGCACTTTGTCAATTGTAGTTGATGATACGAAGATGTAGGCTCGTTATCAATTTAACACTTACAATAACACATCATAGCGTATTAAACTTCGACCAATATGCGACCAGTAGGTACTATCGGCAAAGTTTACAGTTGTACACTTTTTAAACAATCCTGTGGCAATCTGGCGTTTTCACTGTGGTCGCTCGCGCCGAGTGCATGCGAATATCGCCTAATGACGGTCGCTGGTCAACTTTGTCGATTGTACATTTTACTGTCCAATGACACCAATTCGTTCTATTGGTGTCCTATTTTATATTTACTTTAAATAATCGCGTAGATAAAAGCGATTTGAATGAAATGGAAACAATCAACGTTCATATTTATTCACTGATTTTTTTATTAGCCATTACGTATATCACGTGTTGTGATTTGGTTCACATTTTAAATTGCACAAGAAAATAAACACTGGAGACAAAATCGTGCTCTAATTTGCAAATAATTTAAAAAAAAACTTTTTTTTTTGTTTTTGGTGTAAAACGCACTATTTATTTTTATATAAAAAAATCTTCAACGACTCGTAACGTAGGCACTTACTAAATATGTATACGAGGATCTCAACATTTTTCTTGAACAATGGTACGTTATACGACTGACTACTTGAATGTAACTCTAACACAACACAGAGATCCTACTATTGTTTATTTATTTAACATTGCCATCAATCATCACAGTACTATGTTGTCATAATCAGCATTTTTAAGATGATTACACATTTACAACAACGCAATCTTAGTATAAGCATTTAATTTCTTTCAGTCAATGGTTTTCTGCGTTTATCTAACGGTGCAGTGTCTCCACAAAACAATATAAAGCCATGTAGATATGACAAAATTAACGCCAATTAATATCTATGAGGGAATTGAACCCTCAATACTCTGAAATTGATTATTTTTAAATATTATCAACAGCATGAATAATTAATAAAACATACAACATTTGTAATCTTAGCTTCGAGTTCTATATATCCTTCAGGCTTCATGGTTTTAAATATATCTGCAAATTCACATAAGAAAACCGGCTCTAATCAATAAAGGAATTCTATTTTATGCCTGATGAAATACTTTACTTTCATGACTTATTCGTTTTCAATTATACCTTTGATAATAAAAATGGCTATACGCCAATTAAATTGCCCATTAAACGCTTATCCTATGACCAATTACCAAAACATATCTGTAAAAATATAGACGATAAGAAATTAATCGCTCAGTTTTCTTTACAGTAATTTTAAACTACTGCTCTGCTATTTATGATAAAAATGATGAACATGTAATAGGGTTATGTATGTACGTACCCAACTCTTATTCTATTAGCGTATAAGGCAAAAATAAAACTTACCTACAAATAAATAAATAAAAATTGAGTAACGGAACGAAGTCACAATGTAATAAGAAAATTTCTTAATGACGGAAAAAACATTAAACAATTGAACAAAAATATATTAATTAGTCACATATATTTAAAGTCTTTTAAAAACACAGACAAGTTATTTAAGCAGTTTATTTTTAATGGATAATGTTATCACATAGAACAAAACTCGTTAGCTAACATACATTCAATGAACTAAATTCCAAAGGAAGTTTAGTAGACATAATAATATAATTTTATAACAAATTGTAAATCTAGCAAAAAGCTAATTATTATATCCTGTGATAATGTTAATTATTACTGTTATTCATAGGATGCATTAATATATTATTATCAGTGCATAGCAGTACTTGGTAGGAGAAGAGTGTAAATTACGTAAAATAAAAAAAATCCTATGTTTATGGAATGATAAGATGTGGTACATCCGTGTATGTATTTTAGCATAAACTTCATAATTATCTATTTATTATAAGCCTTATTTTCATTAAATAAAGATAATAGTTTTGGTGTCATCTATTTTGTAACCCTTACTTATTGTTTCATTTAAATTGAAATAAAACCTTTTTTTAATTAATCATGTTCTTGTCCTATGTTATCTTGACCACTTATATATTTAAAAAAAAATAGCAAGTTAGATGGCAAGAGGATAGCAATTCTTATTTAATTTACCTGAATGTGATTTTTTATTAAAATTAATATTACAGATATATTCTAACTATGAACTTGATATAATTTTGACTGCCTCATTGGCGGAGTGGTGGCAAGAGCGACTGGCGCGCAAGGGGTCTCAGGTTCGATACCCGGGTGGGGCAAAATATTACTGGGTTTAAAAATAAATCTTAGTAGTAGCACGGAGTCTGGAATTGTGCCCTGTATATGGCAATAAGCTCAACACCTATTACATGGGACCCATAACATAAATAATGAAAAGTGGGTGTTAAATTGTACAGTGGCATTAACTGCCGTAATGTGTACCTCTGCCTGCCTCTTCGGGGATAAAAAGGTGTGATATTATGTTATAATTTTCTATAGTATATCCCGTATTTAGCATATAAGTTTTGATTGCAATGTAATCATGTTGATAAGTTAATTATTTACTAATCACATACAGGCAATTTAAATAATTAAAACTTTTATCTATCATAACGTTAATTTTCCCTAAACATTAATTAACCCAAAAGTTGCAGGAAAATTGGTGGTGAAATATTATATACTTTAGTAATACAGATAACTAATAGACCTTTATAAAAAAAGATTACATTTATGCTCAAACCAAAAACCTGTGCAAAGAGGTTTTATGTTGTCTACAGAGATACATAATAAGCATTTTCTCAAAACTGTTAGAATCCATTGATAAAAATCCAACAAAATTTCAGATCAGTTCCCCCTCCCTCTCCTTAACTGATTATGAGTACATTCATAAAGATATTTTAATTCCTATCCCATAAGAAACCCTGAGGATATCCACTAACCAAAAGTTGGTGCTAAGAAGTGCTAATTAGATCTTACTAAAAATACACAAATCCATTAATTCTAATAAGAATATATTCAAAATGAAATACATGTAATTTTAGACCTTTATTTGGTCGATAGTATCAACCAACTAAAATGATAATACTTAAAAAGATCCGCAAGAACTTACGAAAAGAAAAGCTTATAAAAAGCTTACACTTACTGTCATCGTAGCGGTTCCCTCAACACTTTTTTTGAAGAATGTAGGGCATATTTCAAAAGTATATTCTACCTTTTTAGATAATTAATTCATATTTGATCAGTTGCGCATCAATATTCAGAAATTAGGTAATTTTGCATGGCCATTATTACGATAGCGACGGAAATTAACGATATCAATAAAAAAACGTCAAAGTCAATGTCAAAACAAAAAGATAAAAATTTTACTCTGTGCTGTGAGATTTAATCTGCAATATAAACTTTTAATTTCCGAATACTAGGCTTTTTATTTAGTATTTTTCTTCTTTACAAAGATACTAGCTTTTACCCGCGGCTTCACTCGCGTCACAAAAGGATAAAAAGCCAATGTGACATATACCAAAACACACAACGCCATCTATACCAATACTTTTGTTTTCCCTCCGGAATATCAAATTTTTCAGGGATAAAAAGTACCCTAATATTTAATCCGGATTTCTAACTTTAAGTCTGCAAAATTTCAAAGCAATCGTTTACCCATAAGTTTACTTAGAAAATAATGTATAACAATAATAAACAAATAAAATCAACTTAATTTATTATTCATGACAGTTCAAGTACTTGTAGAATCAACAGAGGACGAATTTAGTATTTCTATATGTTAATCTAATAAATATGTTGTTTTCATATTGAGTAATAGTTATTACAAAGTTGTATAATTTAACATATTAGTTTTTTAGAAATATATTATAGTTGTTATATTATCTACCCACTATGTATCAATTTTATCACAATTGCCTATTATCATCAAATAATATCATCATATACCTGAAATGCTTAGGAATGTACAACAAAATTTTACAGGAAAAAATTGTCTTGGGTGTGGTCAGTGTTATTGAGAGGAGGGAGATGACTATTACCTGCTACATTTAACCATAACAATTGTCTTTTTAAAAATTATTACTCTCCCTTCAACCTGTTTTATTTGAAAAACCAATCTTTTATACAGTTTCTATATTATAAGGATGTTAAAATTATTTACATACGTATTAAATAATTTTTAAAACTATATTTTTCATAGTTCCTAAATAGTTTCGGAATAATATAAATTTCATAGGATTCTCATACATGGGCGGTAATACATACATAAGTTTAAGCTATAAATTGTGCATGTGTGTTTTTGGCTTTACTTTTAGGTAATGTTTGGTCTGCTTATCTGTTTTAACTCTGTGATCTACAACACGACCAATAATTGTTAGCGTGCTTTTCCACAGAAGCGGAGCTGTGCGGAGTTGAGCGGTGCAGAGCTGAGCTTTATAGCTGGGTGTAGCTGAGACGACTGGGATGGTTTCTAAATTCTTGGTTTAAAAGTGAATAAATGTTTATGGCTGGGGCATGGGCATGGGGGCATGGGGCTGTGCCATATAGAGTGGTGATACCACCACTCTATATGGCACAGCCCCGTTCTATACCACACAGCTTGGTTCACTCAGCACAGCTCCACTGAGCTCGACACCGATGCGTCCCGCTTAGGCGCTTATCTCCACGCACCATACATTACCAGCCAAGGGATACCCCAGTTGTATAAAGACCTTAAAAACAGTCAGACATAACATGGAAATAAAAATTTTCTCAACTCCGCTAACGCTGATTTCACTGAATCGAAGTGGAGATAAGAAATGTATTTTATAAGCAATGTGATTAGTGAATTTTTATAAATCTTTACCCAGCTTCTGTGGAAATCCAGCTTAATATGCAGCATTAATGAATTAATTTGTATCTTTTATTTGTTTTACTCGTTATGTTAATGGCCACTGTCTTTTTTTGTCCGCTAAAGTGCTGCCACCTTCTACTTTTTTGTTAACATTGGAGTTCATGCGTATCACGGAACGCAGATACTACGTCTTCCAGAAATACATGTTTACGATCTGTATTATCTGTAATCTTATCTGTGGTTTAGTTGGAGACTCGGAAACATCCATCGTGTTGTAAACACTTTTTATTATTTTTTAAGTTTTTATTTGTCCAATAGATGTAATTAACCGGGAAAGATGTGCAAGTGATAATGTGTTTGTCTTAGATATGTTTATGTTCGCCTCTTACACTGGAATTTAGACGGACAATACCTTAGGACAAAATGTGTCGCATTGGGTTTTTTGTGTTTATTTGTTTTCTACAATATGTAGCTGCGTTTAGTGGCCTGTGTGGGAGAAATAACTCGAAAGAGCTCAGCTGTACAACAGAGGTATTTACTTATTTATATTGTATGATATGCATTTACGTCGCATCACTGCATCAATCAGTATTGATTTTTGCAATGAAAGGAGTAGACTTAGGACATTGGTTGCATTACTTGACAGGCGTCCTTCACGACTCTGACCCATCGTTTTCCTTAAATCATTAATTATTAATAAACAATACGTTTCCTTACAATGTGTAAGACTAAACAAATATCCTTAGTAATGTAAACATGTGAAACCCATCTTTGTTTGGTCCTTGAGGAATGGGTTTGTTACAATCAAAAATTGGTTTCACAATACCTTGGGATTTTCACTTCGCTTGTTTTGTCTTAATAATTTCCTAATGTAATACCTATTAAGTTTTTTACTGAGTGTACTTTTATTGACAAAAAAGTCAAGGTTACACATTTCAAATCAAGTTAGTGTTTTTGTATGAATTAATTTATAAGATTAATTTACACACAGTTATCTATTCAGCAAGGTCTGTCGAATACTAGCTAACTTTCGATCTTTATTACAATAATTATTAGATTACATTTTCAATATTACATGTGAAACGAAGCAGCGGACAGGTCGTAAAATTCCATTTTGAATATGAAAATGTACCTATTTGGTAATGATAGTTAACTTATCTACTGTGGTGATTTATGACATCACATTTTTCTAAATGGTAACATATGAATAATGTATTGACGTTTTGCACAAGACCAAATTATTTGCATATTTTTAAGATTAATGATGGCTGTGTTGTGACTGTAGCATAGAATACATTATTGACATGTCTAAAACATCCTGTGAGTGGCAGAGACTATGTATATGGTAGTACATACATATATTCAGGAGGCCATACACGCTAGGTTAAGCATGATGGTTATAACTTTGCATGAAAAACCAACAATCATAACCGAGTTTCATACCACGCATACATGTTAGGTTTTGCATGTATTTACATGCACCGAAAACTGTACAGTTTTATCACATACATACTAGGGCTTGCCTGACTGTTATGATATGTTATGGGGTTTTATTATCGCATATGAAACCAAACATTTAACTCATCAGTATGTTTACCAGACCAGTCTGCAAACATAGGTATGAAGTTTCTCAGAAAACTATCTTTGTTCAAACATGGAAATATTCAGTGACTAATTATCTATTATTGGTTTTTTCGGTGAAATGGGAATAACCACCAACCAACAAACCAACCACCAATGAACCAATATTATGTTGCTGACCTCGAACTTCAACTCTTTGCATGCTACAATTTTTATAACTATAACTTATTAATACGTCGTAAGTTGAATAGCATCAGTAACTACTTATCAAGGATTTATGCAAGGGTTGTTCAAAATACCAGTAGTATTGGGAATATTTTATAAAATTATAAAAAAAGTAGCCTATGTGACATATACCAATACACACGGCGCCATCTATACCAATACTTTTTTTTCCGGGTTATAAAGTACCCTATTATTTAATCCGGACTTCTAACTTTACGTCTGCAAAATTTCAAAGCAATCGGTTTAGTAGTTACGGTGCGAAGGTAGAACAAACAAACAAACAAACTCACTTTCAGATTTATAATATTGTAAGAATGTAGCGAGCCTCTTTTATCTTATGATGTCCCCATTGTTAGGTCGAGACCCGGTATTTGGGAAGTGCATTAGAACCTCACACCTTTTAATCTCCGAAGAGCATACACAGAGGTTCACATTTTCAATGTAACACCCACTATATCCTTGATTGTATGAACCGACTATCTCGACATCTATGCATTTTACATCTTATTTGACATAACAATATCTACATGGTGTCATCCTAACACAGTTTCTATTGCTAAGTATGCTAGTGACAATACAACAAAGAGTCTGCCATGAAAACATTAAGTTATTTTGGGCCGCTACTATGTTATCACAAGTCTTTGATAACCTATCATACAAATATTTTTGCATACACACATACATCAGTCATCAGTGATAACTTAAAGAATTTGCAATTTTGCTAAGCCTTTTATTCTTTTTGACTGATCATAATAACATAACATCACGCCTTTTATCCCCGAAAGGGTAGGCAGAGGTGCACATTTCGGCACTTAATGCCACTGTACAATGTAAAACCCACTTTTTACTTTTTATGTTATGAGTCCCATGTAATAGGAGGTGAGCCTATTGCCATATACCTTGCACATTTCCAGACTCCGTGCTACTACTGAGATTTTTAAAAACCCAGTAGTACTTTGCACGACTCTGAAATCGAACCCGAAACCCCTTGATCGGCAGTCGCACTTGCGATCACTCGGCCAACGAGGCAGGCTTCAGTGAGGTGCATTATAAAATCCAAGTTACATGATAATACTATTTCCACTATACATATACTGATATTGAGTTAGGGGCTAGGAATTCTAATAAAAGATTGTATTCTTGTAAATAATTATTTACTTTTATTTACTTGCACATACTTCTATGAAAGGTAAGAACAACAACAGAACGAAACAAAAACATAAAGTGCCACCTGGCAGAACTATTCAAAAACTAAACACTGTAAAGCAGCCAGTGTTATATTTTATTAATTCAATAACTGAGAATGTCTAAACTCTTATATGCAATGATAAACATAATTTAACTACTTTGTCCGATCCAGGGAGCATTTATTCAACCGTGAAGCTTTTTGTCGCACTCAGTCACCGGGCCAGTGTTTATTATTAATCCATTGAATAATAAAAATCTATTATCTAATACAATAATAGTAAAACCTTTTGTCGAGGTGCAAATATTATTCAGTTGACATTGATTCCAAATTGACGTCATTTATCTTATGAACTCATTTGCTTTTAAAATGCTTTGTGTAGGTAGATATTGCAAGCTTATCTGATTAGTCAGTTATCAAACTATCGACATTTTGGACTTTGTTTTGTTGTAATTCTTTTTATGATAATTTATAAATCGCATTCTGGTTCATGCGTAATTTTTTATTTTTAATGGACTTCAAAAACAGAAGGAAGTTCTGAGTTTGACCTGTATGTATGTTTGTGCGGGATTATGAGCAAATAGCTTCACTAGAGGACTGACCTACAGACTGACATTTTTTCTTATTATTTAATATTTAAATATTTTGTTTTGACGTTCAAAAGTGCCTTCCAGGTCTAATTGAAATAAATGATTTTGACTTTGACTTCAACTTTATCTCGCGATTGGCTGAACGGATTTTGATGCGGTTTTCAGAAGTATTGCACTTAGGGGAAGGTTTTAGTTTGTCAACTAACCGTTAAAGTCGGGTTTTAAACGTAATTTATAAAAGAATTATTTATAATAGTTACAGTTAATCCGCAAATTGGGAAAGTCGAATACGATTTGTTTAATTGATCCCTAGGGGAAACAAATTTTATGTCATAGAACCAATCTTTGTATAACTTACCTAACAATTTACATAACGTAACACTATTTATGTTATGAGTCCCATATAATAGGGGGTGAGCCTATTGCCATATACCGGGAACATTTCCAGACTCCGTGCTACTACTGAGATTTTTAAAAACCCAGTAATACTTTGCCCGACCCGGGAATCGAACCCGAGACCCCTTGCCCTGCAGTCGCACTTGCGACCACTCGGCCAACGAGGCAGTCCTACGAGGCAACCTAACAATTTACAATACTATCAAATTGTAATTATTTTGTTTATGCTAATAGTTAGGTATATTTATTATTACCCGCGGCTTCGCTCGCGTCACAAAAGGATAAAAAGTAGCCTATGTGACATATACCAATACACACAGCGCCATCTATACCAATCATTTCGTTTTCCCTCGAAAATATCAAATTTTTCCGGGATAAAAAGTACCCTAAATAATAGGGTACTTTTTATCCAAATAGGAAAAATTTCCAGACTTCTAACTTCACGTCTGCAAAAATTAAAAGCAATCGGTTTAGTAGTTACGGCGCGAAAGTGGAACAAACAAACAAACAAACCTACTTTCCGATTTATAATATTAGTAAGGATTTTACGAAAAAGTTTTAAGTGGGAATCGCTCAGCAAAAATGTTGTTTACAATCTCGACGGCCTTAAAATAGTCCTTGAACTTACACATAAGACAGTGTCGGATTCGTTTTCCTTTATGGCACCGTAATTTAACGCTAAACGGGTCTATTTGCGTAATCCCATGGTAATGCTCACCCTTAATCACAGGAATATTAAACTTTATTATACCTTTAACCGTCACCACGGGATACCATATCTGGAATTTACAAATTAAAAAGCGCATTGAATAATATTAAAGAAGGGCCAAATTAAAAGTACCCTTAACCGACGAGCATGCATGAAAAGATTGATGACTGTTGATGAAGCGAAAGAGGTATATAAGAATCGTAGTAATTGGCGTTCCTTAGTCTCTGCCCCATGGGAGACAGGCGTGAAGTTATGTATGTGTGTATGTATCAAATATTGTAAGAAAACGAATAAATAATTTCATTGAAAGTTGTTTCTATGCAAACTTTACTGTTCCCTATTAGGTACTTTATTCTTTAATCAAATAATTCTTAAAGTCACTTCCACGTACTCATATTCGATGATACGAGATCCAAATCAGTTTATTTATATCACAAGTCTGCATCGATTTTAATTCATTGGATATTTTTATTAATATTGGACGGGAAATGTCTAGAGGTCTTATTCCAAAAATAAAAGAAATGGTTTGTCTTTTGCGATGTCACACCTAACCGGTTGTCAAGGGCTGATCAGGCTCTTAATTCCATGTCCAATATTGACATTCCGTTGAGATTATTTAAGGCTCGGTTTTTACTGCTGAACTCAAATTATACCCCAATTAATCACCGATGTCAATCTCTGGGTTGAGGTAGGTCTTTGACATAGTTCTATAGAGTTTCTTTCGTAAACTTGCATTGATCCAGATGTTATGGATTAAAATCTGTTAATTTTGACAGTTGTTTGAAAAATACTCATCACGTTTTATTTCCTTATTCCAGATCCTCGGCCAAAGAAGCACGGACTATGACACCTGTAAGATGAAAGTATTCCCTCCGGACAGTCATGAATGTGGCGCCATGACCTTCGGACCATTATCTCCAAACACCCATATCGGGGGCGTGACGCTCAAACCATACATCGTGACTATGCGACACAACACCTTCTACGTCAACCACACGGTCCTGAATATTACTTTCAGTAACATTAAATGGAAGAGTAAGTTTTTAAGCATTTTATAATTGTTTGGTAAAGTTTGTCTAAAGAAACAGTTGGCCTGTCTCTGAGTTTTCGCGCCATCAGTGGCGCTAGTGTAGTTTTTGGTCTATTGAGCGATAAATGCTTGCTAAAGCCTTTAGTCTATCATTATCATTATTCGTTAGACAATCCTAATCAGTTTAAGCCATAAGAGGACCTTACGCCTTTCTAGAGCAATATCCAGACCACAAAATCGATAACCCTCATTCGGTCGATGTTTTTTTGAAGGAATTAATTAAACTTAGTGCAGGTCGTTCTCAAGCTAACAAGTGGTGATATCTACAAAGTGGCTGACGGTAAACTTCAGTACCTAGTACGCATCGAAACCAATGAAATTTAGTTTTTAAATTGGGAAACATTTATTTTAAGTGTGGGAGAGCCATGCTTTGGCACGAATGGGCCGGCTCGACCGGAGTGATACCAATACTACGGCCTCACAGAAAACAGACGTGAAACAACGCTTGCGTTGTGTTTCGTCGTGTGAGTGAGGTTACCGGAGGCCCAATTACCTTCCCCTTCCCCAATCTCCCCAATCCCTGAATCCCCAACGATCCTCAAACTCCTAATCCCCAAAAAGCCGGTGACGCACTTGTAACGCCTCGGGTGTTCCAGGTGTCCATGGGCGACGCCGATTGCTTACCATCAGGTGATCCGTCTGCTCGTTTACCGGCTTATGCCATAAAAAAATGTGCTGGAATGCAGTAACGTTAATGTACTATTGTTTACGTTATATGACGCTTTGCAATGGGACAAAAACTCCTCATAGTACTGACATTACCATGATCTTGTCCCAAAGACCTAAAGACATGTAGCACTCAAAGATCGGTAGTAGTTACCTTCTGACGCCTTCCTCATCGTGTCCTTGTCTCACACTCCCTGATTTTTATAGACTAATTATAATCTAAAACGATGTCCACGTGCAAGAGCTATGGTCGATATTTTTCGTGCGAAATGGCGCTTGCGGTTTTTCGGTGTACGCTTCTGTCTCATATAAACACGATAAGTAGTCAGATATACCTAAGGATAAAGAGGACAATAAGTTGTTAGACTAATTTGAATAAATTTGTTCAGTATGGCTTTGCAAATATTGTTTGAATAAAGAGTTGCAATGGAAGTCGGCCATGCGTTAGAATGACGCACCTTATTTTGAAGGGATTCTCTCAACTGATGTGATTTGAATTGACAATTAACGATATTATTGATCTTTGAATGAAACCAGTAACTGTTGTGGGAACAGAGTGACAGACTTGCATACATATTGCCCTAATTAGATGCCTGAGTCAATATTATTTACTTTGACTCTTTATCTGATAGGAAAATTGATCAAAAATAGTGAAATACAGGTTGTACCTGTTTTGGTTTTTTAAAAATAGGTAATAGTCGTGTTTATCTACTATACGAGATGGTTCATGTCTCAGTACTTCAGTAGTGGATGACATAAAGGTAAATAAGTCCTTCCAAACTTTGAGAATAAAGTTTCGCCATTTTACAAGTTTCGTACAAAATAAAATAAATTATAATAGTATGATTACGCCATGCTTGCATTAATTCGACATGCTACGATAGATAAATAGCGCGATCACATTATAAGTATTCTACGTAATGGTTCACGTCATATATTTGAAATGAATGTCCGTACCGTACGTACAAATTGCATTGAATGTTGATTGCGCAATGCCCCTTTTGTTCGTTTTTTGATCTCATTGATTTGTTGACTCAACATTTTTGGATTGTGGACATCTTCAGACTTATGTAGATGATTGCTAAGACCAACAGCAGATCAGTACCAGGCCGTTTTCGCCCACTGCTGAATACAGTTGTCGATACTGCTGCTTGATATTCGCAGTCGCATTTGCGACCACTCGGCCAACGAGACAGTCATAATAATGAATATTTTATACGTGTAAAAATTAGCTGTCTACACCGTCATACCACAAGTGCAACGAATGTCGCGGAGAACCTAACGGGATACCGGGGCTCCGGCTCGAAGTGCAGGAGAAGGAACGGGGTGGTTTTTAGTCAGGAAGACTGACACTCCCTCCCGCCTCACCCAGGCGGGAAAAGTCATTCGATGATTTTCCTCCCTTAAAAAAAGTGCAGCGAATGCAACAGATTTTCTTTCTTATAAAAAAATTGTTGTTTACATACGACAAAACAGAATGAGTATTTCAGACGTTGATGACGTCAGCGATAACGTTCATTCGAAAATCATTGTCTTATAATACATTGATAGGTTGTTTTTACGACTGAATGTATTGTTATACAGTACGTCTCTTGCATAGGTAATTTTTATAAAAATATATGGATATGATGGAATAGTCTTCATATAAAGTATGCAATGCTTGCACTTGCAATTCGTTGATTGCGCGACCTAGCTGGGTGACTATGATGGTCCTAATTATGTAATTCAATTATTTTTCTGAGTTCCCTTACATGGGAATTGTAACATAACGTGCGATAGTAGATGTTAAATTAAATATGTGCCTCTAAGAACCCCTGGGTTGAGTCCAGGGTATCAAAATTTAAAATCTAATTAGTCCGTCAGTTAGATAATGAAAAAATATTAGACGCGTATTTTTTTATTTTCTCGTATTAAGTTGCAATACTTAGATGCCATAAAAATGGCGCTAAGTTTAGGAGTGGGAGGTCGTTACGTCATAACATGTTAAAAAATGTGACACGCTGTGACGTCATATTTCAAATTAATATATCGTCGAAAGTGTTTAATTTTTTTTTGAAAAGAAAAAATACGTGTCTAAAGTTTTAAATTAATGTACCAGACGAACATTAAAATACAATTTAGGAAACAACCTACTATAAAGTTATCGTCGTTAATTCATTGTTCGGACCCAGACCTATCTCAGTAGTTGCGCATGCGACTAGATTAAATGAGGCATCCAACGTGTATTGTACAATAACAACTGCACTTATCTATAGACATGACATCATAATGTTTTATATATATAAACATGACCTGTATAAATAAACCTACATTTTATATATATTTTTAGTCTTCCCTACTCAAAGGTAATAGGGATGATGACAGGGTATGAAAATTAAAAAATCTAATTAGTCCGTCAGTTAGGTAATTAATTGTGTCTATAATGACGGTACTCAAAGGGAATATTACACACGTATTTTTTATTTTTTTTACAGAAACGAATACTTTCTACGATATATTCTACACTCCTAAACTTGGATTCGTTTAATCTAAGTATCATTTTATTATACAACAAAATAAAAAATACGTGTCTAATATTTTTTAACTGTCAAACACCGCGCGGTCACCGGTGACCGCAACCTATTGTTCTTTAATTGTGTCTATAATAACGGTACTCAAAGAGTTAAAATAATCTACCAGACGGACATTAAAATAAAAATTAGTCATCTACCCTATTGGTACAAAAATGTGCAAGTACGTTCGTATTAAGTTCATCTCTACTCTACTTTAGGCATTCCGAGGTCAGACACAATATTGCACCTGTTATGAATTTTAATGCATCTTTATTTTGTTTCCAAGAATTATTATTATTCCCAATTACGAATGTTTGTGTTGTAAATGTTTTATCTCACGAGCGCGCGCAGGTGCGCCATACTTGTGTGGGTAAATGTACACGCACATTGTCTTTGTTTGCGTACGCTCGGGAACGCCCAGTTTTGGCCGGCATGGCGGCATGCCAATGAGTGAGCTTGCTGCGTGTTACGCACACAAGCGCGCGTATTTATACGCACTATTTTTTTAAGGGGGAAAAGTCATCGAATTACTTCTCCCGCCTGGGTGAGGGGGGAATTAGTAATCAGTAAGAGTCTATTGCTAACTAAAAACCACCCCGTTCCTACTCCTGCACTTCGAGCCGGAGCCCCGGTTACCCGTTAGGTTCACCGCGACTCCGTATCGGCATCAGCCCTATTGGACCCCATCCGTGGTGGACTGATGGCGCATTGAGGCGCGCGCGGAACGCGACGCGCCGTACGCTCGGGATCGGGATCTATACGCACTAGAACTACAACTATGGCTCACCCGCCCTCGTGAATTACAAGAACTATAAAATAAACAAATATTTTACGTACTTGTTTTTTGTTTATCTTAAGGTTATTGAAGTTGGGTGCATCTTAACCCCTTGAGCGTCCTTATGAGCACCCGGTGGATCATAAGAAAAAATGCTCCATGCTGCTATCTCTTTATAAAATCTATTATTAATGTTTTGTTTTTATTTTGACTGTATTTGTTTTATTTCTATTGTAATGATTCTTGTTTTCGTGTGCCAATGGCCAAATAAATGCATTTTCTTGCATGCATAAGGATTAGGAAATGCATAAGGAACGCGAACGCTCAACGGGTTAAAATATATAAGACACTTATCGCTTACCATGATGCTCTGTCGAATCGTTTCTACCATTGCATAAAAATCTCATTCACACAATGATATGATGATGATGCAGGTTATAATAGATATCGTTACCGATTGTTGTTAAGTAATTGGACTTTTAAGAATTTGGTAAAAATATTCGCGGTAGGTCCAAAAAAAGATAGGACGAATTTGACAAATACCTACAATTTGTACAATACCAATAACTATCGTGAAACATACAAAATTAGCTAAAAATCGGGGTTGCTCACGTGAGGTTTTTAGTATAATCACGTGAGTAACCCACGGTTTTACGTAATTATCAAGTGGGTCACATACATGTTCCATAATGTTTTGATTATCCAGTCTGTGGTTTTAATAAGACCGTGCCTTTTATATGCTACTACAACGGGTTTATTTTTTTTACAAATATCGACGAGACATAGGTAGGTACTCATAAAGAACAGCTAAACTTCATTCGTACCTCGTGTGTGCTGCTTAGGTATTAGGTACACGAATTTAGGTAAACTGGACGAAAATATTTTACTTTTTTACGACGACGACAAACTTAATTTTTTTTTTTGTATTTAACATTGGCATTATGTTAGTCTTTTGTGCAAACTCCTAAATTAATGTAGACTTGTCAATAACATCCATGGCACAAGTTCATTGACATTGTTTCGAGCGTAAAATGAAAACTGAATGCTGCGCTTCTAACCGACCTATCTAGAAGTCATCGGAGAGGCCTATGTTCAGCAGTTGACGACTTGATAACAATAAGATTTAACCTCTTGTTTGATTTAGATTCTTGATCTACGCGAGACACTATTTGCATTCTATTGTGTCTCATTTATCTACATCTACAAATAAGAGGTTAATAAATATTCTTTTTTCCTTGCAGCCATGAAGTTCCGATTCCAAGACAAGTATAGAGAGAATAAAAACCACTGCAGAACTATCACCATATCAAATGACATCACAATCGACGATGAATCAGTGCTTTTCTATGACTGTTACTGGCCGAAGACAGATGATAGAGATGGACAAAGCCATACCCTGGACTTCGAAGCCGTGGCTGATGATAAAACTGTTAACAGAGGAAAATATTACTTCAATATTCCCTCTGCTGAGATGCTTAGTAAGTATTGATGATTTTTGTCTTTTTATATCAAGTTGTAGTGATTAAGGGACTACGTTTGACAGTGACTGCAGTACCGCTCTTCAATAAACTTGAATCCTTTAAACTGAAGTATTGAATCCCTCTGACAAGCACGGATATTGTGACAAACACCTAAACGTTCTATTGTGAAGGTGACTTTATAGTCTACTAGCTTTTCCCCGCGGCTTCGCTTGCGTCACAAAAAGATAAAAAGTAGCCTGTGACATTATACCAATACACACAGCGCCATCTATACCAATGCTTTTGTTTTCTCTCGGGAATATCAAAATTTTCCAGGATAAAAAGTACCCTATTATTTAATCCGGACTTCTAACTTTACGTCTGCAAACAATCAAAGCAATCGGTTTAGTAGTTACGGCGTGAAAGTGGAACAAACAAACAAATAAATTCACTTTCCGATTTATAATATTAGTAAGGATCAGTGTACTGTCACCGGCTATGGATGATGATTTTATAATAACTATAGTGAGACATATTAAATTACCTAAAAATCGCGGGTTACTCACGTGAATATATTGAGAAAAGCTCTACTAGTTTCGAACCACAGCGGGGTTCTTCCTCATGAGCAGACTCGTGAGTAGGCTGCGCGACAACGCAGCGACCGCGCACGCTGCTCTGCTCGAAACTAGTGGAGCTTTTCTCAGTATATTCACGTAAGTAACCAGCGATTTTTATGTAATATGGATGATGATGTTTGGAGTTAAAATATATAAGGAATATACTGAAAGTAACAGTCATGTTGTTTATGCACATCCACGCCAGATTTTTTTTTTAAATAAATTGTTGCCCCTCACTACGGTTTTCTCCTGTGTCGTGGGTACGTTTATATACATACAATTTCACATACACATAACGCCCAGACCCAAAACAACAATTTGTGGATCACACTAAGTGTTGTTCCGTGCGGGAATCGAACCCGCGGCGGTAATGAATGTATAGTACCTATATGTTAATACCTAATCTATGAACTCATATCTCTTTAAGGCTTAACAACAACAGAAGATAGATGGAAGCCGTTCATCTACATAGAAATCTTCAACAGCATTATGCGTCTCCACGTAATGCCACCTCCTCGACAATTGAAAATAAACGCCTACCGCATCAGGGTTGTCACTCTCGGTGTCAGACGAGACGTGCAATCTGCTAGAGTCCCTCTAAAGAATAATACGGAAGAAGTGACGTATGACTATAACTTTGTCGGTACAAATGGGTCCGTCAGCTTCATAGTGACACCCCTACATGATCAGTGCGAGATGGAAGGTGTCGGATGTACGTCAGTGGAAAGTCCAAGGATTAAGATCAGTGAGTATTTTTTGACGTGACAACGTGTTATAAATTGGTTTGCCGGGTGACACTTCAAGAAACTGCGTTACGCTCCGCTCACGTTATGCGCTCACAATGAGAGCGAGTGAGAGGCACGCGTCCCTTCCACTCGGGCATGGTTAGCCCGCCTAAGAGCGAGAGAGACAGACATAAAAAGTGAAAGGCACGCGTCCCTTCCACTCGTGCATGGTTAGCCCGCCTAAGAGCGAGAGAGACAGAGCGTTACCACTCAAAGTCGTTGTCACGTAAAACTTTCGCCCGTATACCGACTTTACAGGCTGCCTCTTTGTCTAAGTTATTTTCGTCGGTACAGTATGTTTTCTGCCACTTCAAACGTATTCATGTTAACTTCATTATATCAACGGGCTTATACTTGTTACTTGCGTGATACAAACAGGCATCAAACGCCTCGTCTAATGAAAAAAAAGTTTTTTATAATAACTATCGTGAGACGTACTAAATTAACTAAAAATAGTTTCGAACCACAGAGGGGTTCTTCCTCATGAGCAGCATTTCTTGGTATACTCACGTGAGTAAACCGAGATTTTAGTTAAAAAGTATTGTTAAACGTTTAACGGCTTTATAAATGCAAGCTAGGCATAAAAAATTCCACCATTTTTCTCCAAAAGGGCAAGTCACTTTTAAGAAGAATAAATTTTAAAGCAACTCCAGACTCTTCGAAAATCTCAATACCATGTATTCAGATACTTTTTGCTTCCTGGAAATCATCAATGACGCAGCTAAAAACAAACTATAGTGCAACCAATAAATCAGTTAAGGAAAATGAAATAATAATCTTCTATTTCATGTTATCTCTCTTTTCTTGGGTCATTAGCTTATCGTTTGGGTTTTTTGAAAACAGTTCTTTCTTTAGGATTAGTCAGCTGAAGTTCCAGTGGGCCGGTCACATTTGTCGAAGAACCGATAACCGTTGGGGTAGACGTGTTCTTGAGTGGAGACCGCGTCTAGGCAAACGTATAGGGCGCCCTCCAGCTATGTGGAGTGACGATATCCGCAAGGTGGCTGGCAGTGGTTAGATGAGAGTAGCTAAAGACCGAGCTCAGTGGCGTGCCATCGGAGAAGCCTATGTCCAGCAGTTAATGATTAAGTCGATTTGTAAACGAACTGTGTAATAAAACATAAGTATCGTAATTATACACACTTGTAATTATTGCAAGTATTTGTGGTGATTAGATGACGATGGATGGATGGATTATTATGGTGCTATCGAGGTGGTCTGATGACGGAGTTGGAAGGTGGCTAGTAGTTTTAACATAAGAGTAGAGTTTGGATTCATTAGAGATAAGTCTACTTCTCTTGATGACGAGGATATACTGATTAAAATCGTGATTTACGTTTATTCAACTAGGAATTTATATTTATAGTGAAATAATATCATACAAAAATACTACACTTACTTTGCTCTGTGCAAAGCTTCAATGTCTTAATTAATGTATGTTTTATTCGCTAATGCTAATAATAATATAATTGTCCTTCCAGGCAGCGAGCCTCAGACCCTTAACATCTGCATAGCGAGTATCACAGCTCTGATCGTGGCCACTCTGTTCGCATACTACATCGTTCTGCGACTCATGCGGCGCTACTGTTGCCACGATAGATATAGAGAGGAATTGCGTAAGTATAATAGTTACTTGTTATTAGAGATATGCTTTCCTAGTGCTTTGATTGTAGAAAAATATCTTGAGTTAGCTGTAATAGGAGAAATATTACAAGTATTCTGCAGTGTGTAGGCTATGGGATATGATAAACTTAGTTCTTTCTTTTAACCATTGATACGTTATAAGTTTGCGTCTAAATATTAGAAATCTTGTTTGTATTATTCGATACATTGCTTATGTTAAAAACGCACTTTTTCTTTCCAGCTCTTATGATCCCGACGCCACCGAAGATCTTGGTAGTATATTCCCCAGCGAACCGGCTCCACGCGGAATGCGTGATGTCGTTCGTTACATACCTTCGATCGGAGTATGGCTTCGACATTATGTTCGATGGAGACATTTCCACCTCTCTTAAAGACCCATACAACTGGGCACAGAAAGCCTTCGAGCTCGCCACACACGTTCTCTACGTAGTTGGCCCCGCAAAGGAAGCAAACTCCTTTAAAAACATATACGATGATCCCATAATAAGTCCCCTACAAAACGTCGATGTCCTACTCCTATCTTTCGTGAGAGCCAACAGAAGCACTAAGGAGGTCATCAACGTCAAGTTCGATCATTCCAATGACGAAGTCCCCGAGGAAACTAAACATGCTAAGACCTTCGTTCTACTCAAAGATTGGCAGAAACTCATATCATATCTGTCCAAAGACTTGCTCCCTAAAGTACATATAATGCGTTCAGAGAGAGGTAAGCGCTTCTACGAAGATTTGAACAGGGCCAAAAAGCTGTTGGGCGCTAAAAATGATGAGGTCAGCCTACAGTACGAGAAGGTAAAGAATTTTGAAAAGAAAATTTTGGTGTAAATTGGCACCAGGTTTTGGGCACAGTAGGGTACGTATTGCGTACGGCAATGTGGCGGGAGACTCGAGATTTTTATTAAACTTGCGTCTCATATATTTACTCGGTTATTGTCACGATATTTATGTATAGTTGGTATAGGGTACGAAGGTAGTAAAAGTCTCGTTATGCACAAGCCCCGCCCACCGACTCCTGCGCATAAGGTTAGAAACATCTTCGTTGGACGTACGTAAATTGAACGTCGAATTACGGCGTATATGTTGTCTATTGTTTGTAACCGTACTGAATGTTTAGTATTGTTGTGTTGGGACTAAATAATAATACGGAAAAATAATAAAAATCTTAGTTTTATGAACAGGCTTAATTTAGAATGTTAAAAAGAAAATAAAAAAAGTTAAATGTTATATCCACGATAGGTTAAGTACCATTATTATTATTATTTAGTCACAATATGTAATGAAATATTTTTCGATTGAAACTTCAGAATGTTTATTTAGTGTTACGTATAATAAGACAAGATATAAATTGAATTTGATAATATATTTATCCGTGTAACTTAATGAAATGATACGAAAAAATACAAAAAAAATATATAAATATGAAGAGCGTATACATGGCTCCAGAATAAATAGGAATCATTAAATGATTATATTTTTATTCTGTGAACGTATTTTAATGTTAGACTTTCAGTTGCGATTGAAGGCGTCACTCTTAGATGTATATCTGTCTCTTTCTCGCACACAGATTGTATATAACGCTGTCTCGCAACGATATCTTTCTAACATGGAATACGATGTCAAATATTGTAATTTGTTTGTTTCGAAATTGAAATCCGACTAAGAACATAACTGGTGAACAGATGGTAGGTTTTAAAGGTTGATCAAATATTTTCTTGGACAAATAAAAACTATCTAGTCACAGATGTTGAAGGAAAGTAGCTCTTATAGCTAACTGAATAAAACCCAAATTTCTCTAAGTTTGATATATGAAGGTTGTAATATTTTAATACCAAAGACGAACAATGAAAAATTTCAATTTCGAAATATCAATCTTGAGTGGAAGGCAGTAGGGTCGCAATCCCTGTATACCTCTTCCGGATTCATAAATATTTTTGTGGTGATTTATAACTGTTGTCTATCCCAGTACGATGCATATCTAATTGCTTTTAGTAATAAGTATTTTTATAATTAATATTTTTTACGTTTAATTTTTCTAATGGCATTATTCACTTTTTGAACGTCACTCCTTTATCCCACCATATTATTGCGGACTTTTTTATTCTGTGGTATAAGGTATCATGTTACCTAATACCTGTTATGTGTATAATTCCACCGTTTTTTTTAATTTTTTGTATTTCGAAAACACACACAACTTTTTTATAGTTCATGAGGAAATAGATGTCAAAGAAAATTAATCCTTATTGCTTTACTAACGCATCGAATTGGCGTTCAAAGAGTCGAAACATTTTACTAACAGTACCTTTAAGATGTTCATTTTCTTTATAAACGTTTTAAATTAATTGCATATCTTAAGTATCGATGGCGGATTAAATAATTTTAGTACGTAATTACTTGGAACTTGTGTAAAATCTTTTCTTAGTACAGAAATTTTCCGAATTTTCTCTTTAAATTTGGTGTGCCATAAACTACACTGAATCGGTGTTGTTTCTTCGTGTAAAATGTCGGTGTTTGACCACATTATACTAATCAAGGACGTTGATACAAGGCGAACATTCGCCGGAATACTGAAACGTTACTCAATTTTAAGTCGTGCTTAAATATCGTGCCGTCTCTTTCATTTTACAAAGAATTTGTAGAGACAGAACTATACTTAAGCGCGACTTAAAATTGAGTAGCGTTTCAGTATTCCGACAATAGTCTCTTGAAACAATGACTGTGACACGAAGGACATCTGTCGCGTGACATGGCCCGTCATTACACTTCATACATTACGGTGTTGCAAGTAACACGTATACGTAAATACATCACTGACATTTCAGTGCTTCAATCGTTTTCTAAGTGACATTATTTCACCTTTTTGTCAACGTCCTTGATACTAATGCACTAAATAACTGGAGTGATTACTAAATACTTATATATATGACCTTTTTATATAAGTATATACGGAATGATAACGTCATATATTATAAATGAGGCGCACAACTATCGCATAAAATTTTTCTACGGTCTTTTATACCGCCTGTATATTATACAGGGTGTTGCAAGTATACAATTTATATTTAGTTTCACCTGTGTATACAATATTTTTGTATTTGTATTGTTTTATAGTAACTTAGATTCATTTGTATGTCTTGAAAACTGAGGCATACAATATATCTTATGAATTTCATGAAATCGAATTTAAGATTTCACGTGATACAAAATTTATCTCCCTTACGCTTTTACTGCTTATATTTTTTTTAATAAAATGAGTTTCTATTCCAAAAAAAGCGGTATGCTGGAATAAGAAAACTTTTTTATAACTTGTTTTTTTTTTGTTGCAATCTTTCGCTTAGTATTGCTAGCATTAATATAATTGTTATTGATATTATGGACTAGCAACTCTGGTTATTTAGTGTAATATTTGTACCTTTTTATATACCTGTTTCCTCGTTGATCTCATCGGTAAAGAAACTGTTGGAGTGTGTTCTATATTGATAAAGGACCTTTCAATTATTAAGCTCAAAATATTATACCTTGTGATGTATTTTTTATAAATAAAGTCGTAAATAACATATTTTGTGTGTATCAATTTAATAATAATACTGTCTTAATGTCGTTGCGGCCCGGAGGTTTAAGACGCCCGCTTCTTATGCTTGAGGGTGTGGATTCGGAACCTGCTAACGGCAAGTATCAATGTGACTTTTTCCAAGTTATTTGTACTTTGTACTTGTGATGTTTGTCAGTGGTGTCTAGATAGTCACGATGCATCGTGATGAATCCTGGCCGTTTAATTTCTAATTATAAGTTTGAAATCGCCTACCGGCATTAAGCAAGCGTGGTGATTAATGCTCAAACCTCCGTGTGAGATAAAGCCTTTGGTTAGCAGTGGCCACTTATAGGTTGTTGATGATGAATAATTCTTCCATGCAGGTTTCGGTTACGGCGACCGTTTCATGACTACTGGCGTCTATCGTGGACTGCCGTGTGACTGGAATATCCACCTTAGATTATAAATATTTTTCCACAGAGTGAACTTAAAGCTTGCCACAAAAATCTTAGTATATATAGGTAGCTGTCGTTCTACCCAGTATTCCATACTCTGCTGAGACATGGACACTATACAGACGTCTCTTTCAACAATTTGCTAGTTTCCTGGGATTCAAATTAATTATTTCACCTTTTCAATGCATTAAATATGACATATAACATCACGCCTTTCATACCCTAAGGGGTAGGCAGAGGTGTACATTATGCCACTGTACAATGAAACACCCACTTTTCACGATTTATGTTGAGTCCCATGTAATAGGGGGTGAGCCTATTGCAATAAATAATTAAAAATAATCATACTCTCATGCATTGATTTCACAATTTACTTGACATTTCAATAAAAGTATTAAATTAGTATAGTTACTTGTCAACTACCGATTGGATCGATTTCATTTCGAATGCCTTCGTATCAATTTACTTATCTCATAAATGTTAATTTATTTACTTTATGTCTATCACTGGCTGTACATTTAGTGCTATACTAGGCTCCATCCAGCTCAGAGATAAGCAGAAACAACACAGCTCCATAAAATTTTAGTAAGATCCTTACATACTCTCTTTAGCTTCTATCACATTCATAAAGTTCATACAAGCACTATTATTATTTTAAAACAAGGAAATTATTGTTATCAATAGAAGGGAAATTAAAACATATTTTTCTAAAATCAGGAACATGGGAATATAAACTCAGGTATACGGGAATAAAACACATGCAAGTATCATTATCATTTTGGTTTATTATCACGACGCGGGTACACTAAAACACCAATATGGAATGCTGTATACAACGATAAGTCTTTTAAATACAATTATTGAATATTTCATACAAACGCTGAGCAATTTAAATACGATTACAATGAAGGAACCAAAACTAAATGAAAACAATTTGAAACAAAATATTCACATTGAAAAATAAAATTAGTAAAAAATTAACACGGTATATTACATCTAAGTCCGGACTGGCGGATACTTATTTTATGAGCGAAATAAAATAATTGAAAATTATATAAGGACATATTTAATCAGAGAATCATTAAAGACGTATAACTCAATAGATTTTTTTAAGGGGCGAGTGTGACTCTTACTGTTTAAAAACCACTCCGTTCTTACTCCTGCACTTCTAGCCGGAGCACTGGTAAACTGTTACGTTTTCCATGGCTCCGTGTCGGTATCTGCCCTATCGGGACCCATCTGTGGTGGTGGTCTGATGGTTCTTTGAGGCGAGCGCGGAACGCAACGCGCCGTACGCTCGAAACTGGTTCTGATCGGGCGGCGAGCTCGTCTCGATCGAGGATCGTCTCGCGATATAAGCCCGGAGTGTCCATCGCGATCGCGATTTTATTAAAAGCTTTCATCCCATATTTGTGTGAGGCCTTGGCTCTTCAGTAAGACATTTACAGTCAGTTATTGATTATTTTTAAATTGATTCTCCATCAAATATGACCTCATATAACAACATTTTTAGGATATAATTATTACTATTACTAGCTTTTCTTTCGTGAGATATATCTTTAACAAAGTTAATTTTATTACGCCCATACAAAGTCAATTAAAAATAAAATCAACAACAAAGCTATAGTACACAGTAATGACTAATTAGTTTATTTATTTTATTGTGAAACAAACATGATTATGCAATTTGTTTCTTTTTTGATACACAAAATAATTCGCGTTATTTTAATATGTATGCGATTTATTGTAGTTAGAATTCAAATTTGTTTAGCAATTTTGTTAGTAAATAGTACATAATGGAATAATATCTATTACAAACCATTTTTGTTTTTAATGAATTT